CTAAATATAGCATTACAAAAAGAATACAGAATAATTTATGTAAGCAATTCTATAAATATATCAAAATAGAGCATTATAAAAAAAGAAATTAAAAATAATTGCATAAATATAATTTGAATATTTTCCTCCTTGTTAAACGATGCTTTATTGAATGTACTAAAAAAAAAATATATATCCATTTTTGGAGGAATATAAAATATTAAAAATAATACAGATAATGTGTTTTTACTAAATTTATTACTTTTATATTTTGTCTATGTTAAAATATTTGCTAAGATGATATGAATTAGCAAGTTTTATTAAAATTTATAGTGTTTTTACATAGAACAAATGTTCTTTTGATGTGTTGTTATTATTGTCAATAATAATAATAATAATCTAATTTAGTAAGAAATCTTCCTTATCATCAGTTGTGCCGATTCAATACATGACACAGGATCCAAATTTATTATTACAGATCAAATTTTTTATGCTATTTTCTTTTATGTTTTGTCATACAAATAATTTGGCTATGTTAGATACAAATTGTTATATTTACTTTATACTTGGATCTTTAATGTTAGTTAATATTTAGAGAGATAATAAGTTGCATTTGTATCTGAAAATTATGAAAATTTACCACCTGTTTGTTATCAATGTGAAAAATAAGTGATTTTTAGTTCAATACTATTTATTCAGAAATACTGAGATAATATTATATATAGTAATATATCTGATAAATCATGTCATGACAAACTTTTATCTGTACTTTTGCATGGATACCCTGAATACTCAGTGTACTTAAAAGTATATTTGATGTGTTTTTGTAAATTTGCTATCACATTTTCTTTAGTTGCAATATTTAATTACCTAAAATGACTTCTTTGCACATGCAGTTTGCATTAAATAACCACACTACAAAAGAAACTTTAATGCAGTGATATTTTTTAATATTTGAATGTTTTTGGTCATTTTTATTGACCACCTTCAGGATAAAAACATTGATCGAATGACTGTTTTCGTTTGACATGACAAGAAATATATGTTTGTTCCGTTTGACCGAAAATGTTTGAAAATTAGAAATGCCTCTACATTTCAGGGTTTCTTTCATGATGTGGTTATTTAAAATGACTTTTGTAGGTTTTAATAATTACACCTGCAATGAATTTTGTATTGATTGTTTGATAAAATAATTTGTTAAACATTTTTTTTCCTACTTGGATATTCGTATTTGATAATTTAATAATGCTTAAATAATGAAAATTAAATACCTTAGTCTGCTGTTTTTTATCAATGACAATTGCATTGTTATCTTTAATTTATGTAACTTTAACAATGTTACCTGTGTTAATTTAGAAATTTGTTTCTTTTCATTGTCTTTTGCATGTTTTATGCTTTGATTTTTCTAGTTTTTATACAAAAATTGTATTTGGTATCCTTTCTTTTATAAATATGTTAAATTGCTATTTAAAAATTAATTACTGAATAATCTATTATGCAATAATAATGGCCTAATTGTGCATCTTTTCACTTAATTTAAAATGAAAAATTTGCGACAAAATGCACTCTAAGTCAATATTTTTCCAATAATGCACGCATCCTGAATTTTTTTTTTCGTATAATTAATCACATTAGAATTGATAAAGGATGATTTTTTCCCCCAGGTTTTTTTAAGATGAAATTAAAATAAGATATTTTTTTAGTAATTCTTTATCTTGATAAATATTTACATTTTCTAATGTTGTTAATCTATATTCTCTAAATATTTGTATAAATGGTACTGCAGATGTATCTAGAAAGGAATTTATATATATATTATCCTTGACTTCTTTGGTTCTTAATTAATTAATAACAATAAATAGCATGACGTTTATTTATTTAAATATGTTTACAGAGATTATATATTTAATGATGATAAATTATAGCTTATTGCTCTTCATTTTTGTATATGCATTATATTTTTATTGTATTCTGTTTTAAATGATTTAACCTTAAAGATAATTTCTGTTTTTTGTTTGTTCTTTTTGTCAGTTTAACTTACAGATATAAGCTATAATAGATAATTTGTGTGAATTCTTTCATAAATTAGAGCAAATATTGCCAATTTTTCTTTTGCTTATTAAATTATAAACTTAATAGATCAATTCAAACTAGAATTTTTTAAAGAATTTGTATAGGATCTTCTCAATTCCCTGTTTTACAAAAAACATCGGACATTAAAGTTGAAGTTTTACGTACATTCGTCATTATAGAAGCTTTAATATCTAGCCCCATTAATTTACAGAATTAAGAAAAATTATTTACAGTTTGAGTGAGGACAAGTGTTTTAACATTAGAGAGAGAAAATGATTTTTAAAATAGGTTTTACAAATGTCAAATCATGAGTTAATTTTTTTAATTGTAAATTTTTACATTAAAACTTGAGTGAAGCAGATTTAACAAACATAAGGCCGAGAAATTTTGGCGTTACCATCAAATTTTTCCCACAGTGTCCTGTCTAAAGAGGAACCCGAGTGATGTGAATAGAAACTGCACGTTATTTTTCTAATACAAATTAAGAGCCTAAAATTGAAGAACAAAATGAATTTAATTAAGAAGTTGTAATGTATGTAAGTAGTAATAAGTAATCTTGAAAATGCATGTTAAATTGTATAACAAACTCGAGAGAGTTTTTTTTTGTTGTTAATAATAATGTTGGTACTGTTGGTATATGTTAAAGATAAGTTTAATGGTTTGGCGTACGGTGATTTATGAATTGTTGTAGAGCATTGTGCTGCTAATGATGCAGCAAGTAGCATCTTCTACAGTGTGTGAAAATAACATAATTTCTGCAGAGTTAGATTGTTAAAATCCTATTTATTAGTTTATTTGGAGGGCTTATCACCAAGGCTGACCGAAAAATAGACCAGATCTTTTACAAATAAATTTAGTCTTTAATAATCACCTTTAAATTTGAAAGCAATTTTTAAAGACTAAATTTTTTTAAAAGATCTGGTCTATTTTTTGGTCAGCCTTGGTAATAAGCATTCCAAATTGTTAGAATTAAAGTCCTATTTATTAAGCTTTTTAAATTAAAGTTGTGGGCTAAAAGCATTGTTTATTATTACCATTTTGGGAGTTTACAGTCTAAACTTTCAGTGAGAAAACAAAGAAATTTCACTTAACACAATACTGTTTGTATGCATTTTTTTTTGCAACTATATACACAAATGTATATTTTTATTTTTCTGCATTTTTGTCTTTTATTTATTGATTGTTTGATAAATGTAGTAAATAATGTGTTTCTTAACTTTTTAGAAATTTGGTTCACTTGTTCTCTTGTAAGTTACCCACTAGAGAAGTACTACTTATGATATTACATTTCAAATAACATAATAGACTTTAATATTTATAGTAATAAGAAGGCCGACGACCTTTACTTACATATTTTCGTGATATAAAAAGATTGGCGACCCACTTCAATGATACTACATTCTATTTTTACGCTTATTTATATCATTATCTATGGTATACCGTGTTAAATTGTACCTTTCGGGATAAGTTTTGGCATGTTATTTTTATGTTAAAATAAAATATTTCATTTAAATGTTAATTCAATAATTCAAATAATTAACTTTCTACTATTATATTTTTAATTATGTATATAAATTATGTAATTTGTAAAATATATATACTGTATATAAAGGAAAATTATATTTGGAGTATTTTTGATTTAATTTGTTTGTGTGAAATTTAAGATAGTAAGCATGAAAAACATTTTTAAAATATAATTTTAAAGTATGAAAATTCATTTTAATAATTAATTATGGCTAGAGAAGTTAAGTTTTAATTTTGAACTGTCAGCATGTTTACTTTCTGCCCGAGGGTTTTTGTAAAATAATGATACTCAAGTTCGGATATTAACTTTTCATACGTGTAACGACTGCATGTGTCCTTCTCAACCACCGGTCCATGGTAATTTTAATGGACCATGAAAGTTACAACCCAAAAAAAGAAAGTTTGAAGTTATAAGAAATTTAGATGAAAATAATTCTTTTTTTGTTTTTAAGGGTAGATTCTTAAAATTTAAAATGAATTGCTGCTGCTAATCTTATTTCTTGATGGCGTTTGATTTGAAAGTCAAAACTTTCATTAGTTGAGAAACATCCACTACTCTGATCACACTGTAATTATATGTTGAATTATTCATTTATATTAATTGTACAAATTTACATTTTAGGGGGTCGGGTATAAATTATTTGAAGCTTTGCCGCTGTTGGTTATTTTGTTCCTTTCTAATAAGAACATTACTTTGAAGTTATCGTTCGAATAAACTGTTCAGTCATTTGTTTTAGTCGCTCACAGATAGGTATTTTAGTGATTTTTTTTTTTTTTCTAAAAGTTTAGATGCTTCTAATACACTTGGACTAAACACTTAGTTTATACCTCGTGATTGCATGATCACATTTGAATAACGTGTTAAACATATGGTCGATTGCATTGTCAGGAAATAATTTATTTTGTCTATACTTTATGCTTGTATTTTCATTTTGTACAGATAGTCTACATAAATGTTTAGTCCCTAGTGAATTGCCCTGTGTGATGTTTCGTTAGACATATTTATCAACTCCTTACTTTTAACTTAATATTCATTTAGTAAATTTTACTGTTTTTATTAGTATATTATTTTATTATATTTGTACTGGTTTCTTATAGAATATTTTCTGAATATTCACAAGTGGGTTTTATGTTGCTTACTGCAGTTTCAAATAAAATTACATATATTTGTATTGATATTGCAATTTTATTGCACGGTTTTACTGCGATTTTATTGCAATTTTATTGCACGGTATCATTACTTTATTTATGTCTATTATGTTATACACTTGTATTGATAAATATATAAGAAGCAATGATTAGGTATTTGGATTATCGGTGAAATTTTAAGTTATCAAATTTATAATTTTATTATTATATACATAACATGTCTATTTAAATTAATGTTCCAATGATAATTTTAAATACAAAATACTTTCTTTCAGATGTCTTTTCGCATTGTACGAAACAGTAAATTTCGACACGTGTTCGGTCAACCCCTAAAACGTGAGCACTGCTACGACAACATTAGAATTACGAAGAGTTCCTGGGATTCGAATTTCTGCGCGGTGAATCCGAAGTTCCTCGCCATTGTCATAGAAGCGGCGGGCGGAGGTGCATTTCTAGTGCTTCCGTTGCAGAAAGTAAGTGTTTAATTAAAAACTCACATTACGTAAAAATCACTAGATTAAAATTGCATAAAATGTTAATGCACATTAAATCTGTATTGAAAAATGTAGAGCAAGTTATAAAGTTATTTCATCTAAAACAGTTATTTCTGCAGTAATAAAAATGTAGTTGCTGCCTTAGAATTTGAATTGACATTTATTTTATTAGAAAGATCATGTCTTGACATGGGGAAAACAGAAGAAAAACAAAATACACAATTATATATTCTGCAATATCTTACAACTTTGTAATTTGTAGATACAACAGAAAAACTTATACAATTTCTTGTTTACTTATTTTGGTTTTATTTTCCCAGCTCTTATGTATACATAACAAGGGAAAGTTGGAATTGTATCAAATTTGACACAGTTCCAATATTTGCAAAAAAAAAAAAAAAAAAAAACTTTGACTCAGTTTTTTGAAATCTCCACGTTTTGAGACCTGAATCCAAAAGGTAAAAAACAGCAAAAAAAGTTTCATATATTTTGGCATCTATTTTGCTTATCTCAGGATGGGATAAAGATTAAGAAACAAACTTTGGCGTGATTGCTTGTATATGAGGAGCATTCATGCTATTAAATTTTGGTGGTTAAAAGTTGAGAGGGTGAGGAGAAAGAGAGGTGTCATATATCAAGAGGAGTAGGACTTAATGAAGATTTTTTCCAAATAAAAACTCATAACAGCTGGGAAAGTTACTCAACTCGTTGCTGGATTTTTTTTATTATTTGAATAACTTTCACAACTATGCTAATTGTTTAAGCTTTAACAAATTCCATTACAAACTTACGTAAACAAATTAGTTTCATTATAAATATCTTCATAAAATTAATTTCTTCTTCTTCTAATGGTTTTCAATTTAACTAAATTGTAGGTTTGCTGTAATTAACAATGTTCCTTGCACAGAAAAAATGAGCTTTATACATTTTTTCTGACAAATATCTTCTTCAGAAAATGCATATATTTGCATTAACACTTATCTGATTTTTTTAAAATCCTAGCTTAATAGAAATCTTTTTTACACATTTAAAGTTAATTAACAAACAGTGTATTTATATTAGGATAATTTTAAATGTTTCAAACAATGCAAAAGTTAATTGGGACAGTAGAACTTTTCGTAACTCATTTCTTTTTAAAAACAGACCAATGGAGAAACCAAATTTGTTTAAAACATTAGGTAACTCATACACTGAATTATTATTCTTTAGTTTGCTATTGGTTAAAAATGCTATTTAAGAAAGCACAATGTTGTTGTATTATCTGCCAATGTTAATGAGAATTTAATCACTCTTTTCATAAAATATAGGAAGATACTAAATCTGTTTAGTTCTAATCTTAATGCATTCCCTAGTACATAATATTCTAAGGAAAATTATTTTTGTATGAAATAACTTTGAATAACTTCTAGACTCTTATTTCTTTAAACACTAAATTGGTGGAACATGTTTATAGTGCTTCTGGAAAAAGCAAGCTTGACAATTAATCCTTAAATCTTTTATTTCTGGAAATACTGTTAATATCTATTGATTAATTAAATATAAAAGATGACCAAACCCTAGAAAATTTACTCCCTTTTTGGAGAGTTATTACAAATGATATTTTAGATACCATTTATTACAAAAGCATAATAAGACTTTGATCCTTCTCTGGTGGTATTAGGATCTGTCAATATGATGCCATCTGAAAATAAGATATTGATTGGACTGCCTTATCAATAAAGAAACCATTGTCCTCTCTTTCAATATGTATTTAAATTGAAATTATAAAAGTCAACCTCTATGATTTTAGATTATAATAATTATGTTCTAAATCTGTCAGATATTTCTAATTCACTAAATACTAAATGTCACTATTGCAGCTCTAAATTTATTGATATGCCTTTTTTAAAAATTTTAGTATAAAAACTAGACTTGTAATGTACTACACCATACAAAAAAAGTGGAGTTACACAAAATTAAGGTTTTAATGAAATACCAGGCCTGGACTTAATGGGAAAGCAAAATACAATGGTTCAAAATAACATTTATATAAGCAAAAATTTGCAATAATATTTATTAGATTGAACAGTAATATATATAAATAAACAAAAATGATTATAAACAAGAAGTTAGTAATAAATATATATTTCAAATATTCAAAGTAAGTCAAGATCAATTATGTACAAGGAAAAAAATCAATCAATGAAAGAAATTTTTTTTCCAGCTTGGGATGTATAATTAATTAAATTTCCGCCAATATCAAAAATAAAAAGCAAAGAATACACCGCCTTACAAATTGATCACTATCAAAAGAATGCCAGACAATCACTTCAAGGAAGGTCGTTTTTAGGAGCTACACTGCACCATTAAATGGGTGTGTCATCTTTTATCTGCCTAAAAGCGTTAATTCCGCACTACTCTATTTATTTACATGTTTAAGCGTTACGGGATCAGTAACTTATGTAAATAAATATTTGTTGGTCTTAATTTTGAATTTAGTATATTTTGGGGTTTCTTGGGAGTTGCCATCATTAAAACAAAAATGACCCTGAAAGGAAAATAACAACTAAAAGTAATGATCAGACTTTGACTTCTTTCAGACTTCTAAAATTTTCTTACATTGAATTGAGAATAGTGAAGTTTATTTTTAAATCTGAAAGATCTGAAACTCATTTTAATAGGTGTTTTTTTTTTTTTTTTTCATGGGGAAAACAGAAGAAAAACAAGATCCACAATTATATATTCTGCAATATCTTACAACTTTGTAATTTGTAGATACAACAGAAAAACTTATACAATTTCTTGTTTACTTATTTTGGTTTTATTTTCCCAGCTCTTATGTATACATAACAAGGGAAAGTTGGAATTGTATCAAATTTGACACAGTTCCAATATTTGCAAAAAAAAAAAAAAAAAAAAAACTTTGACTCAGTTTTTTGAAATCTCCACGTTTTGAGACCTGAATCCAAAAGGTAAAAAACAGCAAAAAAAGTTTCATATATTTTGGCATCTATTTTGCTTATCTCAGGATGGGATAAAGATTAAGAAACAAACTTTGGCGTGATTGCTTGTATATGAGGAGCATTCATGCTATTAAATTTTGGTGGTTAAAAGTTGAGAGGGTGAGGAGAAAGAGAGGTGTCATATATCAAGAGGAGTAGGACTTAATGAAGATTTTTTCCAAATAAAAACTCATAACAGCTGGGAAAGTTACTCAACTCGTTGCTGGATTTTTTTTATTATTTGAATAACTTTCACAACTATGCTAATTGTTTAAGCTTTAACAAATTCCATTACAAACTTACGTAAACAAATTAGTTTCATTATAAATATCTTCATAAAATTAATTTCTTCTTCTTCTAATGGTTTTCAATTTAACTAAATTGTAGGTTTGCTGTAATTAACAATGTTCCTTGCACAGAAAAAATGAGCTTTATACATTTTTTCTGACAAATATCTTCTTCAGAAAATGCATATATTTGCATTAACACTTATCTGATTTTTTTAAAATCCTAGCTTAATAGAAATCTTTTTTACACATTTAAAGTTAATTAACAAACAGTCTATTTATATTAGGATAATTTTAAATGTTTCAAACAATGCAAAAGTTAATTGGGACAGTAGAACTTTTCGTAACTCATTTCTTTTTAAAAACAGACCAATGGAGAAACCAAATTTGTTTAAAACATTAGGTAACTCATACACTGAATTATTATTCTTTAGTTTGCTATTGGTTAAAAATGCTATTTAAGAAAGCACAATGTTGTTGTATTATCTGCCAATGTTAATGAGAATTTAATCACTCTTTTCATAAAATATAGGAAGATACTAAATCTGTTTAGTTCTAATCTTAATGCATTCCCTAGTACATAATATTCTAAGGAAAATTATTTTTGTATGAAATAACTTTGAATAACTTCTAGACTCTTATTTCTTTAAACACTAAATTGGTGGAACATGTTTATAGTGCTTCTGGAAAAAGCAAGCTTGACAATTAATCCTTAAATCTTTTATTTCTGGAAATACTGTTAATATCTATTGATTAATTAAATATAAAAGATGACCAAACCCTAGAAAATTTACTCCCTTTTTGGAGAGTTATTACAAATGATATTTTAGATACCATTTATTACAAAAGCATAATAAGACTTTGATCCTTCTCTGGTGGTATTAGGATCTGTCAATATGATGCCATCTGAAAATAAGATATTGATTGGACTGCCTTATCAATAAAGAAACCATTGTCCTCTCTTTCAATATGTATTTAAATTGAAATTATAAAAGTCAACCTCTATGATTTTAGATTATAATAATTATGTTCTAAATCTGTCAGATATTTCTAATTCACTAAATACTAAATGTCACTATTGCAGCTCTAAATTTATTGATATGCCTTTTTTAAAAATTTTAGTATAAAAACTAGACTTGTAATGTACTACACCATACAAAAAAAGTGGAGTTACACAAAATTAAGGTTTTAATGAAATACCAGGCCTGGACTTAATGGGAAAGCAAAATACAATGGTTCAAAATAACATTTATATAAGCAAAAATTTGCAATAATATTTATTAGATTGAACAGTAATATATATAAATAAACAAAAATGATTATAAACAAGAAGTTAGTAATAAATATATATTTCAAATATTCAAAGTAAGTCAAGATCAATTATGTACAAGGAAAAAAATCAATCAATGAAAGAAATTTTTTTTCCAGCTTGGGATGTATAATTAATTAAATTTCCGCCAATATCAAAAATAAAAAGCAAAGAATACACCGCCTTACAAATTGATCACTATCAAAAGAATGCCAGACAATCACTTCAAGGAAGGTCGTTTTTAGGAGCTACACTGCACCATTAAATGGGTGTGTCATCTTTTATCTGCCTAAAAGCGTTAATTCCGCACTACTCTATTTATTTACATGTTTAAGCGTTACGGGATCAGTAACTTATGTAAATAAATATTTGTTGGTCTTAATTTTGAATTTAGTATATTTTGGGGTTTCTTGGGAGTTGCCATCATTAAAACAAAAATGACCCTGAAAGGAAAATAACAACTAAAAGTAATGATCAGACTTTGACTTCTTTCAGACTTCTAAAATTTTCTTACATTGAATTGAGAATAGTGAAGTTTATTTTTAAATCTGAAAGATCTGAAACTCATTTTAATAGGTGTTTTTTTTTTTTTTTTTACTTCCAATATGATTATTGATAACAGTATTGCTAACAATTTGGTTTTTGCTAATGTTTTATTGCATAATATTTAAATTTTGTATTGTCCCAACACACCTCACTATTGATTGTTATATTTTCTATAGTCAAAAATTTAATTTTGACAAATTCAGGGAACTATTTGTACGTTTTGCAACAATAAAGCTATGTTTAATCATTTGAATGGTTTGCATTGCATTTGATTAGATGCTATCTGAGTATTTAACTGGGATATGTTGCTTTTATTAAGTCCCACCCCAGGAATTATATGCATTCCATTACTTTGATTAAGTGCCACCTGAGAGTTTTGTTTGTATTCTCTCAGTGCAAATCTTGATACTTTTTATAATGTAATGCTTCAATATACATCTTTCATAAAACAGTTCAGCTATATTCAAAACAGAATTTTTTTCCCTTACAAAAACATACCTATGCCTTGGGAACTAAGAACTATATAATGGAATCCAATTTCATTCACTTGTCAGCTCTTAAGTTAATTAATTTGTTTGATTTTCTTAACACTTAAAATGTTTCACTTAAGCTAAAACATGTTAGACTTTAGATTTGATACTACAGTAATGTTTATTACCTAAATAAAATATACCTACCATAATTAGACTGGAAGAACGGATGTCAGCTATCCTCTCGTCGCCGGTCACAAGGGCCCAGTACTGGACATAGCCTGGTGTCCTTTTAATGATAATGTCATCGCCAGTGCTTCCGAAGATGGCATCGTCAGAGCATGGCAGATTCCGGAAGGTGGTCTGCTGAGGCCTCTGGTGGATCCTGTTGTTGAACTAGTGGGACATCAGCGCAGGGCAGGATTGGTTTTATGGCATCCTTCTGCTAATAATGTGCTGCTGAGTGCAGGTTAGTACTGTTCTATTATTGTGAATATTGTAGAAAAATCTTAAGTTCTTACCGTATTTAAAAATAATTTATTAAAGAGTAATGATGATCTGAATATAATATCTGAGTTCAGTTTTTTGCTGTTGTGTAGTTATGAAAGTTGCATTTTATTGGTCTTCAGTTTCCAACCAGTTTTTCTAGAAGAAAATCAATTTTGTTTTAACTCTTAAAATATTTTAAATATTCATTATACAGTATTCAGTGTAACAAATTACCAGATATTAATTATAACTTGACTATCCACTGATGCAAAATATTTAAGAATTAATCGTATTCAGAACAGATTATGGGTATTCACTTTATCAAACTCTTACGAGTAAAATATGAAAGATGTACAGATCAGTTTATAGAGATCTGTAGTGACCATTTCTGCATTTTAAGAAATCCTTGAAAGAAATAAAATTGCCAGTATGCAGGAACTTTATTATATGAGAGTTCAAATGGCAGATTTTGGGGACACACTGATTAGCAAAGCCATTCCTTATGTATAAGTGGTATGTTTATATTTCTTACAATCTTTTTTTATCCAGACTTATTATGCAGATACAGCAAGTCCTCTTTTAATATCATTTCAGTATAATGTCATTGAGGAAAGGTACAAGCACATTTGTAATAATTTACAATACTGTTGTCAATTTTTTTTATAAACAGTAAAATTGATTGAGGTGGGAAATAAATGCTGCTGGTTGCAAACACAATCTAATAAGTATAATAACTGAATTTGTCTTGTTTATATCAAATATGTTAAAATTGGTAATAACAATATAGCCAGTAAAATTGGTTTCGTTACACACTGTTTCACTTAATGTTGCAAGCAATCATATAAGTCAATAATATTACATGAGGACTAACTCTATGTAGACTGTCATCATTCTTACTTTCTTACTAAATCAAAATTGATTTCCAAGCTCTGATCCATTTGCTGAAATATTCTGTTAATGGCAGGTTAATGACTACTTGATATGTAACTATATTATGCAAGTAAATGAGTAAATCAAAGTAACATTTGAGCCGATACTTGATTTCACTTTCTAATATTTTTGTTGCACTAAGATTTTTTGTCATTTTGTCACATGAATTCTTCAGTTATTTTTTCATATTCTTACAGAAAATAATTTTAAAATGTTTGACCAAACAGAGGAACTATTGTCATCCATTTTCTGTTATAAGCTATTACAGTTGATATGTTTTTACAATTTCTTTAGCTTTTTCTTTTGGTGTAAGAAGATAATTGGATACTAAAGTCCTATTATCTCTTTAAGACATAAGCATATATAAAAATGCATGTATATATTATAATATATTTGTGTAATTTCTAGGAGCGGACTGTAAAATTTTCATCTGGAATGTGGGCACGGGAGAAATATTTTCTCAGATAGACCATCCCGATCTGATCTTCCACTGTAGCTGGAACTGGGATGGAAGTCGTCTCGTCACCACGTGCAAAGACAGGAAGATCAGGATTTACAACCCAAGGACTGGCGATTTAGAAATGGTATGCTGACTTCTGGTATCAGATTTTTGATTCTTTATTAGTTTATATTTCTATTGGTGAAATTAATTAAAAAATCAATTAGTCATAGATTTGATACAAAAATGTTGTTTTTTTTTACTAAGTGCAGACAATTGATGAATATTGTAGTAAGCATTGTTTTAATATTTGGGCAAAAAATCTTAGATACAAAAAAATTAAAAGTTTGGATTTCTTAAGACTTATTCTTCTAAATATTATTAAAAAAAGACTTCAAAATTTCTTAAATGACCCATAAGCCTTTCTCAAAGCTCAGTCCAGCAAAGATACAAAAATATTTCATTATTGTAGGAATGAAAGTAATAAAATAATCTTGCAATCTTTTTGTGGACTATAAAACCTAAAATCTGACAAATATCAAAATGTAGTTTGAGAAAATAATTTCTTAAAAATGAGTTGGTAATTTGGATGCATTTTGTTCTTCAAAATAATGAGTGATGCACACTACACTACATTTTACTATAGCAAGATAATACTTATTAGTCAAATGAAATGAAACCATGATATTAGAGAAAGTAAATACTGTGTTTAATTTGCATAATATCATGGTTTTATTTCATTTGACTAATAGTATGATCTTGGTATAGTAAAACCTTGTTAACTTGAAATTTAATGGTGGGAAATCTGAGTTAGTTTCAAGTTAACAAGTTCAACCCCTGATTTTTCTGAAATTATTCTGTGGCCATAAATTTCCTATTATTAAGCATAGCATGATTACAAAATTGTAGTTCTTTAGGGTATTGTTGAGGTGTCCCTGTGATCCAGTAAGAATGCTGGTAACGTACTGTATCAGTTAAAGGGTGTCAACACAAGGTTGTAATGGTGAGGTGGTGTGTTTGACTGACTAGGTAATTTTTGTTTATCTTAATTGTCTGTGTTTACATGAAATATAAAGGAAAATAAATATTGCAGATCTATTAAAGGGTACACAGAAAAATAAGTTTCAATTAAAAGTATTAACAACTTCCAGTTAATGTGATCATATTATAGAGAAAACCCTATTAACTGTGCCCCGGAGCTGTTAACTAGTGAGGTTTTAATATATATAATTTTGTACATTGCTAATTTTTGAATTTGTACATTGCTCTTACTATATAGTAGTATTATTTCTAATGTTTGTGGAACAATGGTGGTAAAGTTGCAACTTGAGTCATATGTGGCTCTCAAAATACAATGATATAGTTCTTGCTATATATTATTGTACTGTGCAGCATTTTTGAATGTAATGTTTAGATAGCATCACTCTATCCTTTAAAAAAAGATAAAAGTATTATGTTAGAATGGATAAATCAAATTACGTCAACAGAGTAAATAAAAGGAGTATGTGCAATTAGCAACTTTCCTTGGTAACAGCTTTAATTTGAAGCCAGTTTAGATCTCATTTTCATTAGTACATGTCTGCTTTTGCCATAGAATGCCATAGAACATCTTAACAGAAAGCTATCTTGGAGCAACATTTGCTGGCTGTCAAAATTGTCCAGCAGAACTAATGGCATTAAAAATTATCCTAAAAGATAAAATTATCAACCAACAAAGTGAGCTAATAAAAATGTATTAAGAATTGTAATGTTTTTTGTTGACTGTCTAAAAGTTCAATGCTTATTTTTTTCATACTTCTGGTATCTAAAATTAACATATCAGATCCTGTATCTAATATCATACTTTACAGCAATATTTAAGATTAAATGTTCATTAATAATAATATGATGATCTAAATGCCATATATTCATTAACCTTACTGTAATATGTTATTTAATACTACTGAAGATGAGATAAATTCACTATTTTGTAGCATGTTAATGCAATTATTCAGTTGCTGTCATTTCTGTACATCGCTACATGTCATTACTATTGTCCCGAAATTGTTGTGTGTGTGTGTGATTTACGGCTTTTGTACAAATCAGCTCCTCTAAAAATGAAAAAAGTTTATCATGATTTAAATTTGATTGACACTAATTAAGGTGTATTGTTGTGGCACCATTTACATTGGTGGTGTATTATGTTGCCACATTGGCTCTTGCACATATTGATGCCTTACATGTGGCTCTATGCAAGTTTAGTTGGCCATTCCTGCTACATAGTCAAGTGTTTTGGAACACTAATAACCATCAAAACTAATTTTTAAATGATAGCAATTAATATTTAGTATCTAATTGTTTTTTCTTATTTTAACAGATTTTGTTTTCTTGTCCTTATATTTCTCACTTCAAACTTTTTTTAATTCAGAAGATAGTTTTGTAATTTAAAATTAAAATATATTTTAATATTTTATATTAAATTTTATTTCAAATATAATTGTAGGAAGCGATGGGCCACGAAGGAGCAAAGCCTCAACGTGCTATTTATTTGAGAAACGGAAGAATTTTTACCACAGGATTTTCTCGCATGAGCGAACGACAATATGCATTACGTAATGAGGTTAGCATTTATTTTAAAAAAAGCTCGTGTTGCTAGGTGATTAAATGAAAACTTCTTGCATATTTTTTTGGAATAATCCGTAAATTATTTAAAGTCCTTTGGGAAAAATTTAAATATTTTGATAGCATAAATTTAATTAACTGTTGTTAATGTGTGATAGATTTATGTAAAATTATCAGTTTGCATAATGTTAATCTACGTGTATTATCTGTAAATTGATAATTAATCTGAACTTTAATATGAATTAATTAATTAAAAAAGATTTTTTTTTTATTCCAGTCATCTCTTAAAGACCCCATCATTCTAGAAACATTAGATACAAGCAACGGCGTCTTATATCCATTCTACGACCCAGATGTTAATCTTCTTTATCTTTGTGCCAAGGTACATTGTATTAATGTAGTAGCAATTCTTGGTTATGAAAAATTATAATGAAATTAGAATGTTGAAATATTTAAATTGATGGATATACAATAATAAGAAATAATTTGATAATGTAACATGAGGAAAATAATATATGAAATTGTGTATTCATGAAATTACCAAAAATATATGGTGAGAGTTAAGACAAACAATTTTTATTTTAAAAATATTATGGATCATTATTTTCTCTGTTCAAAAAGATCTTGTGATATGGAGGAAATGCTTGTATTGTTATACAGAGTACATTTTATATTACATTGTAATGTAGTTAAACAAAATTGTGTGTATTTTCTGTCAGACTGTATACAAATAATGTTATAACAAATTTATTTTTAGATTAATGCCACCTGTATACACTATAAATGGTAAATTCAAAAGTTATAAACTGTAATTTTAAGATAATGAAGAATTTGTCTATAGAGTGATAGACTTTCATTAATCCATTTGATGATGATGATTGATTTTGATTGACATTAATTATTACCTGACTGATAATCATACACATTAGGTTGGTCTTGTAAGTTGTGTGGGTTGTAGATGACATATTGCATTATTTATATATTGCTGATGCATTAAGTGTATGAAAGATGATGATTTCTTGTAATGAGATTTCAATGGTCTTGATAAATATAATAGCATTTGTCCTTTTCATAGGATTTCAAGCTGGTTTGATAATTGTTGGTTTTGACTTTGAAGATTTAATAATAATGGCATAGCTTGTCTAATATCTCAGATTCTCTTAAATATCAAAATAATTCTACTTTTTTTGATAAAAGTATTATTTTACTTGCAGTTGGGAAAATCTATAGTTTGTAATGTAATCTGTAAAAGCTGTATGGTGTAGAAACAATAACTTGAATTCAGTTTGAAATAATACATTGTGAGGAAATAAATTAATGATTTTTCTGAGTTTTTAAAATTTTTTTTGCAGTATACTTTTTATATTTGTTTTATCTTGTACAAAAATACTTTTATATTGTCTTAATACTAAAAGAAAATTTTATTAAAGTTTGTTTTTTTTTAATTTCAGGGTGACAGCAACATCCGATACTTTGAAATAACGGACGAGGCGCCGTATGTTCACTACATCAGCACGTTTCAATCTTCCGAACCCCAAAGAGGCATGGGAGTTATGCCAAAGAGAGGTTGCGATGTTCACCAATGTGAAATTGGAAGGTATTTGAATTTGATTACTGATATTTGTGATAGTAATGGCACACTCTACTAAGTACCGTAATGATGTATGTTACATAATAAATTTTTCAAAGTACATCCATTTTTAATTTTACGTTAACCTAATTTGTTCTTTCTAAAAGCTGTTTTATCTTTGACAATAAGGCAAAATTAACTAATGTGCACCAAAATATTTTGAGCTTTTAATTATAATGAATTTTTAAACTTTTTGTGAAAATGTAACTTGGTTTAACTGACATGCATATAAATCATCTAAATAAGTTTTATTTATTTTATTTATTGTACAATTAAGGAAATGTCCATGAACAATTGATTTTCCACTTGCATTTTAACAATGTACCCACAAACAAAGAACAGCATTAAAACCTGATATATTATAAATTACAAGACAACCAATGCCGATAATGTACGGCATTGGTTGGCTTGATAAATTAATTAAATTATTTAATTAAAAATTATAACTTTAAATTTTAATTAAAAATCATAATTAATAATTAAATTTATTAAGAGATGGTGCCTAACGTCTCCCTCTAGTACCAAATTGTTTCATAATTTATTAGTATTATAGCCAATATCTAGGCCAATAACATATGGCATTGGTTGGCTCGCAATGTAGAAGAGAGGCTTGAGCCCAAAACATGTCTCAGCAAATAAGAAATTCCTGAATAAAAGTTGATGATAGAATTGCCAAGTGTTTGTATATGCATGCACCTAGTAGTGATAAATTAATTGAAGAAAAGAAGACACAGTTTTGGAGTATACAACAACTAGAAGATTATGATTTTGAATGCTATTTTTTCATCTAGTTTTTTTGTTTTTGTTCAGTAACCCGAGGCAGGCTGATAAAGAAGGCTGAAGACATTTGTTTTGTAATAAAAATTTACTTGGAAAAGGTGAGGAAGGGGATTTATTGTGGCTTAGTAGAAATGTTCCAGATTTTGGAGAAATCTACACTTGAAATGGCAGTTATGCAATAGAGATGGTGTTCTGTAGTTTGCAAAGTCAGAACCACTCATCATTCAACATGACTAATCTTCAAGAGCTGTAGAATTGTGGCAGCTGTGGGAGGAGTGACAACAGATATGTCATTGTGAGCATAGGAAGAATTTGAATATTGGATGATTGTGTGCCACATGGCACACATTACACACGTTGAGAAATTGTGATGGGCAAATGTAAAACTTTGACAGTAAAATTTTAATGTATTTTATAACTAGTATCTGGATTTTTGGGTGCCTCATCCACTCAGCTTTTGAAGGAGGCAGAGTGTAAAAAGACAAACTACATTGGTGTTAGTGCAGTAGGCCAACTCATTGCCAAATTGTTTAGCACTCAAATGCACCCAAAACACAAACCTGCCCCTAAACGGTGACTAGCACCCAAACTATATATTTTGCATATGGTTTTTCCTTTTTTTACATTTTCAAAGAATATGTTGGCAATTATCTTTCTTTTGGTGGTTTTTATTCATTTACTTGAGGGGGAAAAAACATTTGTTAAACCAGACCATGTATGCTGAGGAAAAAATACGATAATTAGCATACTTTCTTCTTTTGTTGAGAGGGAAAAGGGAAATTTTTTGGACTAAACAATTAAACTTAGGATTGTTATAAGAATGTAAACAGATTTACTGAACATTGTTTTTTTTTTTTTTAGAAAAAAAAAAACAATCTAGAAAATTATGTATTGATGTCATCTTGCCCTGACTTGTGAACACAACACCGAACCCCAAAGAGGCATGGGAGTTATGCCAAAGAGAGGTTGCGATGTTCACCAATGTGAAATTGGAAGGTATTTGAATTTGATTACTGATATTTGTGATAGTAATGGCACACTCTACTAAGTACCGTAATGATGTATGTTACATAATAAATTTTTCAAAGTACATCCATTTTTAATTTTACGTTAACCTAATTTGTTCTTTCTAAAAGCTGTTTTATCTTTGACAATAAGGCAAAATTAACTAATGTGCACCAAAATATTTTGAGCTTTTAATTATAATGAATTTTTAAACTTTTTGTGAAAATGTAACTTGGTTTAACTGACATGCATATAAATCATCTAAATAAGTTTTATTTATTTTATTTATTGTACAATTAAGGAAATGTCCATGAACAATTGATTTTCCACTTGCATTTTAACAATGTACCCACAAACAAAGAACAGCATTAAAACCTGATATATTATAAATTACAAGACAACCAATGCCGATAATGTACGGCATTGGTTGGCTTGATAAATTAATTAAANATCTGAAACTCATTTTAATAGGTGTTTTTTTTTTTTTTTTTTTTTCCAATATGATTATTGATAACAGTATTGCTAACAATTTGGTTTTTGCTAATGTTTTATTGCATAATATTTAAATTTTGTATTGTCCCAACACACCTCACTATTGATTGTTATATTTTCTATAGTCAAAAATTTAATTTTGACAAATTCAGGGAACTATTTGTACGTTTTGCAACAATAAAGCTATGTTTAATCATTTGAATGGTTTGCATTGCATTTGATTAGATGCTATCTGAGTATTTAACTGGGATATGTTGCTTTTATTAAGTCCCACCCCAGGAATTATATGCATTCCATTACTTTGATTAAGTGCCACCTGAGAGTTTTGTTTGTATTCTCTCAGTGCAAATCTTGATACTTTTTATAATGTAATGCTTCAATATACATCTTTCATAAAACAGTTCAGCTATATTCAAAACAGAATTTTTTTCCCTTACAAAAACATACCTATGCCTTGGGAACTAAGAACTATATAATGGAATCCAATTTCATTCACTTGTCAGCTCTTAAGTTAATTAATTTGTTTGATTTTCTTAACACTTAAAATGTTTCACTTAAGCTAAAACATGTTAGACTTTAGATTTGATACTACAGTAATGTTTATTACCTAAATAAAATATACCTACCATAATTAGACTGGAAGAACGGATGTCAGCTATCCTCTCGTCGCCGGTCACAAGGGCCCAGTACTGGACATAGCCTGGTGTCCTTTTAATGATAATGTCATCGCCAGTGCTTCCGAAGATGGCATCGTCAGAGCATGGCAGATTCCGGAAGGTGGTCTGCTGAGGCCTCTGGTGGATCCTGTTGTTGAACTAGTGGGACATCAGCGCAGGGCAGGATTGGTTTTATGGCATCCTTCTGCTAATAATGTGCTGCTGAGTGCAGGTTAGTACTGTTCTATTATTGTGAATATTGTAGAAAAATCTTAAGTTCTTACCGTATTTAAAAATAATTTATTAAAGAGTAATGATGATCTGAATATAATATCTGAGTTCAGTTTTTTGCTGTTGTGTAGTTATGAAAGTTGCATTTTATTGGTCTTCAGTTTCCAACCAGTTTTTCTAGAAGAAAATCAATTTTGTTTTAACTCTTAAAATATTTTAAATATTCATTATACAGTATTCAGTGTAACAAATTACCAGATATTAATTATAACTTGACTATCCACTGATGCAAAATATTTAAGAATTAATCGTATTCAGAACAGATTATGGGTATTCACTTTATCAAACTCTTACGAGTAAAATATGAAAGATGTACAGATCAGTTTATAGAGATCTGTAGTGACCATTTCTGCATTTTAAGAAATCCTTGAAAGAAATAAAATTGCCAGTATGCAGGAACTTTATTATATGAGAGTTCAAATGGCAGATTTTGGGGACACTCTGATTAGCAAAGCCATTCCTTATGTATAAGTGGTATGTTTATATTTCTTACAATCTTTTTTTATCCAGACTTATTATGCAGATACAGCAAGTCCTCTTTTAATATCATTTCAGTATAATGTCATTGAGGAAAGGTACAAGCACATTTGTAATAATTTACAATACTGTTGTCAATTTTTTTTATAAACAGTAAAATTGATTGAGGTGGGAAATAAATGCTGCTGGTTGCAAACACAATCTAATAAGTATAATAACTGAATTTGTCTTGTTTATATCAAATATGTTAAAATTGGTAATAACAATATAGCCAGTAAAATTGGTTTCGTTACACACTGTTTCACTTAATGTTGCAAGCAATCATATAAGTCAATAATATTACATGAGGACTAACTCTATGTAGACTGTCATCATTCTTACTTTCTTACTAAATCAAAATTGATTTCCAAGCTCTGATCCATTTGCTGAAATATTCTGTTAATGGCAGGTTAATGACTACTTGATATGTAACTATATTATGCAAGTAAATGAGTAAATCAAAGTAACATTTGAGCCGATACTTGATTTCACTTTCTAATATTTTTGTTGCACTAAGATTTTTTGTCATTTTGTCACATGAATTCTTCAGTTATTTTTTCATATTCTTACAGAAAATAATTTTAAAATGTTTGACCAAACAGAGGAACTATTGTCATCCATTTTCTGTTATAAGCTATTACAGTTGATATGTTTTTACAATTTCTTTAGCTTTTTCTTTTGGTGTAAGAAGATAATTGGATACTAAAGTCCTATTATCTCTTTAAGACATAAGCATATATAAAAATGCATGTATATATTATAATATATTTGTGTAATTTCTAGGAGCGGACTGTAAAATTTTCATCTGGAATGTGGGCACGGGAGAAATATTTTCTCAGATAGACCATCCCGATCTGATCTTCCACTGTAGCTGGAACTGGGATGGAAGTCGTCTCGTCACCACGTGCAAAGACAGGAAGATCAGGATTTACAACCCAAGGACTGGCGATTTAGAAATGGTATGCTGACTTCTGGTATCAGATTTTTGATTCTTTATTAGTTTATATTTCTATTGGTGAAATTAATTAAAAAATCAATTAGTCATAGATTTGATACAAAAATGTTGTTTTTTTTTACTAAGTGCAGACAATTGATGAATATTGTAGTAAGCATTGTTTTAATATTTGGGCAAAAAATCTTAGATACAAAAAAATTAAAAGTTTGGATTTCTTAAGACTTATTCTTCTAAATATTATTAAAAAAAGACTTCAAAATTTCTTAAATGACCCATAAGCCTTTCTCAAAGCTCAGTCCAGCAAAGATACAAAAATATTTCATTATTGTAGGAATGAAAGTAATAAAATAATCTTGCAATCTTTTTGTGGACTATAAAACCTAAAATCTGACAAATATCAAAATGTAGTTTGAGAAAATAATTTCTTAAAAATGAGTTGGTAATTTGGATGCATTTTGTTCTTCAAAATAATGAGTGATGCACACTACACTACATTTTACTATAGCAAGATAATACTTATTAGTCAAATGAAATGAAACCATGATATTAGAGAAAGTAAATACTGTGTTTAATTTGCATAATATCATGGTTTTATTTCATTTGACTAATAGTATGATCTTGGTATAGTAAAACCTTGTTAACTTGAAATTTAATGGTGGGAAATCTGAGTTAGTTTCAAGTTAACAAGTTCAACCCCTGATTTTTCTGAAATTATTCTGTGGCCATAAATTTCCTATTATTAAGCATAGCATGATTACAAAATTGTAGTTCTTTAGGGTATTGTTGAGGTGTCCCTGTGATCCAGTAAGAATGCTGGTAACGTACTGTATCAGTTAAAGGGTGTCAACACAAGGTTGTAATGGTGAGGTGGTGTGTTTGACTGACTAGGTAATTTTTGTTTATCTTAATTGTCTGTGTTTACATGAAATATAAAGGAAAATAAATATTGCAGATCTATTAAAGGGTACACAGAAAAATAAGTTTCAATTAAAAGTATTAACAACTTCCAGTTAATGTGATCATATTATAGAGAAAACCCTATTAACTGTGCCCCGGAGCTGTTAACTAGTGAGGTTTTAATATATATAATTTTGTACATTGCTAATTTTTGAATTTTTACAATGCTCTTACTATATAGTAGTATTATTTCTAATGTTTGTGGAACAATGGTGGTAAAGTTGCAACTTGAGTCATATGTGGCTCTCAAAATACAATGATATAGTTCTTGCTATATATTATTGTACTGTGCAGCATTTTTGAATGTAATGTTTAGATAGCATCACTCTATCCTTTAAAAAAAGATAAAAGTATTATGTTAGAATGGATAAATCAAATTACGTCAACAGAGTAAATAAAAGGAGTATGTGCAATTAGCAACTTTCCTTGGTAACAGCTTTAATTTGAAGCCAGTTTAGATCTCATTTTCATTAGTACATGTCTGCTTTTGCCATAGAATGCCATAGAACATCTTAACAGAAAGCTATCTTGGAGCAACATTTGCTGGCTGTCAAAATTGTCCAGCAGAACTAATGGCATTAAAAATTATCCTAAAAGATAAAATTATCAACCAACAAAGTGAGCTAATAAAAATGTATTAAGAATTGTAATGTTTTTTGTTGACTGTCTAAAAGTTCAATGCTTATTTTTTTCATACTTCTGGTATCTAAAATTAACATATCAGATCCTGTATCTAATATCATACTTTACAGCAATATTTAAGATTAAATGTTCATTAATAATAATATGATGATCTAAATGCCATATATTCATTAACCTTACTGTAATATGTTATTTAATACTACTGAAGATGAGATAAATTCACTATTTTGTAGCATGTTAATGCAATTATTCAGTTGCTGTCATTTCTGTACATCGCTACATGTCATTACTATTGTCCCGAAATTGTTGTGTGTGTGTGTGATTTACGGCTTTTGTACAAATCAGCTCCTCTAAAAATGAAAAAAGTTTATCATGATTTAAATTTGATTGACACTAATTAAGGTGTATTGTTGTGGCACCATTTACATTGGTGGTGTATTATGTTGCCACATTGGCTCTTGCACATATTGATGCCTTACATGTGGCTCTATGCAAGTTTAGTTGGCCATTCCTGCTACATAGTCAAGTGTTTTGGAACACTAATAACCATCAAAACTAATTTTTAAATGATAGCAATTAATATTTAGTATCTAATTGTTTTTTCTTATTTTAACAGATTTTGTTTTCTTGTCCTTATATTTCTCACTTCAAACTTTTTTTAATTCAGAAGATAGTTTTGTAATTTAAAATTAAAATATATTTTAATATTTTATATTAAATTTTATTTCAAATATAATTGTAGGAAGCGATGGGCCACGAAGGAGCAAAGCCTCAACGTGCTATTTATTTGAGAAACGGAAGAATTTTTACCACAGGATTTTCTCGCATGAGCGAACGACAATATGCATTACGTAATGAGGTTAGCATTTATTTTAAAAAAAGCTCGTGTTGCTAGGTGATTAAATGAAAACTTCTTGCATATTTTTTTGGAATAATCCGTAAATTATTTAAAGTCCTTTGGGAAAAATTTAAATATTTTGATAGCATAAATTTAATTAACTGTTGTTAATGTGTGATAGATTTATGTAAAATTATCAGTTTGCATAATGTTAATCTACGTGTATTATCTGTAAATTGATAATTAATCTGAACTTTAATATGAATTAATTAATTAAAAAAGATTTTTTTTTTATTCCAGTCATCTCTTAAAGACCCCATCATTCTAGAAACATTAGATACAAGCAACGGCGTCTTATATCCATTCTACGACCCAGATGTTAATCTTCTTTATCTTTGTGCCAAGGTACATTGTATTAATGTAGTAGCAATTCTTGGTTATGAAAAATTATAATGAAATTAGAATGTTGAAATATTTAAATTGATGGATATACAATAATAAGAAATAATTTGATAATGTAACATGAGGAAAATAATATATGAAATTGTGTATTCATGAAATTACCAAAAATATATGGTGAGAGTTAAGACAAACAATTTTTATTTTAAAAATATTATGGATCATTATTTTCTCTGTTCAAAAAGATCTTGTGATATGGAGGAAATGCTTGTATTGTTATACAGAGTACATTTTATATTACATTGTAATGTAGTTAAACAAAATTGTGTGTATTTTCTGTCAGACTGTATACAAATAATGTTATAACAAATTTATTTTTAGATTAATGCCACCTGTATACACTATAAATGGTAAATTCAAAAGTTATAAACTGTAATTTTAAGATAATGAAGAATTTGTCTATAGAGTGATAGACTTTCATTAATCCATTTGATGATGATGATTGATTTTGATTGACATTAATTATTACCTGACTGATAATCATACACATTAGGTTGGTCTTGTAAGTTGTGTGGGTTGTAGATGACATATTGCATTATTTATATATTGCTGATGCATTAAGTGTATGAAAGATGATGATTTCTTGTAATGAGATTTCAATGGTCTTGATAAATATAATAGCATTTGTCCTTTTCATAGGATTTCAAGCTGGTTTGATAATTGTTGGTTTTGACTTTGAAGATTTAATAATAATGGCATAGCTTGTCTAATATCTCAGATTCTCTTAAATATCAAAATAATTCTACTTTTTTTGATAAAAGTATTATTTTACTTGCAGTTGGGAAAATCTATAGTTTGTAATGTAATCTGTAAAAGCTGTATGGTGTAGAAACAATAACTTGAATTCAGTTTGAAATAATACATTGTGAGGAAATAAATTAATGATTTTTCTGAGTTTTTAAAATTTTTTTTGCAGTATACTTTTTATATTTGTTTTATCTTGTACAAAAATACTTTTATATTGTCTTAATACTAAAAGAAAATTTTATTAAAGTTTGTTTTTTTTTAATTTCAGGGTGACAGCAACATCCGATACTTTGAAATAACGGACGAGGCGCCGTATGTTCACTACATCAGCACGTTTCAATCTTCCGAACCCCAAAGAGGCATGGGAGTTATGCCAAAGAGAGGTTGCGATGTTCACCAATGTGAAATTGGAAGGTATTTGAATTTGATTACTGATATTTGTGATAGTAATGGCACACTCTACTAAGTACCGTAATGATGTATGTTACATAATAAATTTTTCAAAGTACATCCATTTTTAATTTTACGTTAACCTAATTTGTTCTTTCTAAAAGCTGTTTTATCTTTGACAATAAGGCAAAATTAACTAATGTGCACCAAAATATTTTGAGCTTTTAATTATAATGAATTTTTAAACTTTTTGTGAAAATGTAACTTGGTTTAACTGACATGCATATAAATCATCTAAATAAGTTTTATTTATTTTATTTATTGTACAATTAAGGAAATGTCCATGAACAATTGATTTTCCACTTGCATTTTAACAATGTACCCACAAACAAAGAACAGCATTAAAACCTGATATATTATAAATTACAAGACAACCAATGCCGATAATGTACGGCATTGGTTGGCTTGATAAATTAATTAAATTATTTAATTAAAAATTATAACTTTAAATTTTAATTAAAAATCATAATTAATAATTAAATTTATTAAGAGATGGTGCCTAACGTCTCCCTCTAGTACCAAATTGTTTCATAATTTATTAGTATTATAGCCAATATCTAGGCCAATAACATATGGCATTGGTTGGCTCGCAATGTAGAAGAGAGGCTTGAGCCCAAAACATGTCTCAGCAAATAAGAAATTCCTGAATAAAAGTTGATGATAGAATTGCCAAGTGTTTGTATATGCATGCACCTAGTAGTGATAAATTAATTGAAGAAAAGAAGACACAGTTTTGGAGTATACAACAACTAGAAGATTATGATTTTGAATGCTATTTTTTCATCTAGTTTTTTTGTTTTTGTTCAGTAACCCGAGGCAGGCTGATAAAGAAGGCTGAAGACATTTGTTTTGTAATAAAAATTTACTTGGAAAAGGTGAGGAAGGGGATTTATTGTGGCTTAGTGGAAATGTTCCAGATTTTGGAGAAATCTACACTTGAAATGGCAGTTATGCAATAGAGATGGTGTTCTGTAGTTTGCAAAGTCAGAACCACTCATCATTCAACATGACTAATCTTCAAGAGCTGTAGAATTGTGGCAGCTGTGGGAGGAGTGACAACAGATATGTCATTGTGAGCATAGGAAGAATTTGAATATTGGATGATTGTGTGCCACATGGCACACATTACACACGTTGAGAAATTGTGATGGGCAAATGTAAAACTTCGACAGTAAAATTTTAATGTATTTTATAACTAGTATCTGGATTTTTGGGTGCCTCATCCACTCAGCTTTTGAAGGAGGCAGAGTGTAAAAAGACAAACTACATTGGTGTTAGTGCAGTAGGCCAACTCATTGCCAAATTGTTTAGCACTCAAATGCACCCAAAACACAAACCTGCCCCTAAACGGTGACTAGCACCCAAACTATATATTTTGCATATGGTTTTTCCTTTTTTTACATTTTCAAAGAATATGTTGGCAATTATCTTTCTTTTGGTGGTTTTTATTCATTTACTTGAGGGGGAAAAAACATTTGTTAAACCAGACCATGTATGCTGAGGAAAAAATACGATAATTAGCATACTTTCTTCTTTTGTTGAGAGGGAAAAGGGAAATTTTTTGGACTAAACAATTAAACTTAGGATTGTTATAAGAATGTAAACAGATTTACTGAACATTGTTTTTTTTTTTTTTAGAAAAAAAAAAACAATCTAGAAAATTATGTATTGATGTCATCTTGCCCTGACTTGTGAACACAACAGTTCCAATTTCCTTTATTTGGTGTCAGCAACATTAGAAAATGGCAAAATTGTCTTCATCTAAACTGAACATTTTAGCAAATAAGTTTAAAGATGAAGGCATATGCACAGGTGGAAAACTTCTTCACTGTTCCATTTGCGATTATGTGATTTCAGTTGATGTGAGACACCAAGAAACGAAAATCATGTGATGTGTGAGTTCGGAAAAGCATAAAGAAGGCAAACAGAAAAGGAAGAATTTCAAGCAGACATTTATAGGAGCCACATTTCAAAGAGAAGAATTTCAAAAGGCTAATAATACATTTTATGCAGATTTAACAACCACTCTTCTGCAGGCAAATACACCCTTATATAAGGTAAAGAATCCAGCCTTTAAGTTAATTCTCCAGAAATATACGGGAAAGCTTTGTCCTCGACAAGAGCATCCTTAGAAAAAACTATGTGAAACCAGTTTATGATCAAACCATATCTAAAATCTTGGACATTGTCGGCGATAATCCTGTAGTGTTCATACTGGACGAAACAACGCATTCCACAAAATGGTACGTGCCAAACGTTCTTGTTGACCTTTGACCAGATGCTATGTACAACCAATGTTGTTCAAAATGTACCAACTTGAAAATATGAACTCGACTAGTGTCCCGAGTTTTCAATGATATTTGCATGAAGTTGTTGCTAAATGGTGTCCAGTACAAAAAAATTTGGCTTATCATTACAGATAAAGCATTTTACATGTTAGCATTCTCAAATTTGAAGTGCATCTACAACAACCTAAAGCATGTGACTTGTCTTGCCCATGTCATATACTGAGTAATGGAACGTATTCATGTAGAATATAGCATGGCCAATGACTTCATTTTGAAAATAAAATTTGTTCTCCTTTAGTGCCCTAATTGGGAGCACTTTTACCAAGACATAACTGGGCTGCCATTACCACCCACTCCAGTGGACACCCATTGGAGGTCTTGGATAAACAGTATGGTATTCTACTGCAAGAACTTCAATGTGTTTATCAATGAATTTCCCTGGCCATTCTGTTGCTGTCGACAGTGTCAAGAAACTGGTGTCTGATCCAGTAGTGACCACAGAGCTCTACTCTGTGTGTTCGTACAAGTTATTAGTAGATAAAATCAAAGAGCTGGAAAGACATGGAACTGAAATGCGGGATCAGTGGAATGTTGTAAGTCAGGCACTCGATGTACTGGATGGTTTTGCCCTGGACAAACTCAGATCTAGTTGATCAAAAAATTCTGATTTGACAAATATCTTGGATTGCACTGAACTAGAATTCCGAGTAAAAATGAAACATGACCCATTAGTCTTGGTCAATGTAGAAAGATCTTTTTCCTTATACAAAGACATTATATCATCCAAATGAGAGAACTTTACTTTTAAGAACATTGAAATGGTTACTGTTTCGCAATTGCAATTTGCAAAGTGATAATGCACAGTTTGCAGAGGAAAACCATGTAAATATGTTTAATGCATTTTGGAATTGTATGTGCCAAATTGTTATCAATAAGTGGCAATATTTATCTTGCGCCTGTGTATGTTGATCTAACAAAAGGCTGGTCATCCAATATTTTATTGGATGACCAGCCTTTACTTACATGGCACACAATAGCACAAGTGTTTTGAGTGTCTTTAATTATTTTTGCACTTGCCTAACAAGATTCTTGAGTTGTTCTTTAAACAAGGTTTTTCCCTCTTTGATGTATAAATCTTTAGGAAAACTTTAAGACAAGCTTTTACTTTAATTTTGTTTATGGTGTTTTTAATCATTTATTCTCTTAAATTGAAAAACTTTTAGATGACTACTAACCTGTCAGGGAATAATGTTTATATTCATTTTGTTACATGATAATTTTTACTTTGTTTTTTGATCTGTTATGTTATATATATATAATTGTAATTCCTTATCAAAGTTTGATTAATGACCTTAAGGCATTCTGTTCTTAGTCTGTAATACTTTTCCAAGGGATCTGCACGAACCTTTGGAAATGGTCCTAATGGATTTGGTTGAATAGCTAATTTCTGAATATTAATACTATTATTTTAATAATGCTTAATTTGTACATAGTAAATGATTTTTCTATTACTGCAATTTGCATATGTATGAAGTTAAGATAATATTTTTTTACGAAATTGGTTTGCTATTGAAGAAAAGCTGATATTTGAGATTTGTATTTCCAATTAATTTATTGAATGAAATAATTTTTTTAATTTCAGATTTTACAAATTACATTCTCGTGGCTTCTGTGAAGTCATTTCATTTACTGTGCCAAGAAAGGTACTTTTTAAAGTTTCACCAAAAAAAAAAGTTTATAGGTTCCTTACTAGTAAATTTATCTTAACATTTTTCAGTCCGAACTATTCCAAGATGATCTGTATCCTCCCACCCTGGCCGATGTTCCCGCAATTTCTGCTGAAGAGTGGTCCGACGGAAAAAATGCTGAGCCAATATTGGTCAATAAAGATAAAATCATTGTCATTATTCATTACAGGCAAAATATTTATTTTTGTAAAATTATCATTCTAGTTTTCTCTGAAAGACGGCTACATTCCTGCTAAAAAACAAGAATTAAAGGTGACGAAGAAACCAAATATTTTGGACAAGATGCCCGCAAAGAACTCGAATGTGTCGGCTGGAACGGCTGATTCGTCGGTAAATATTGTTTTTATTTGCATGTTTGTTGTAAGAGATTCAGGATTCAAAGTATGATAATTATGTACATTTTATGTTCAATCATTTAACTGAATAACTCATTTAAGATTTTTAATTGTAGATAATTAAATTATAATGGGATAATTTTACATTTAGACAGTGCAAAATATGTTGTAAAATAACATATTCAATACCTTAATTTTCAAGTACAAAACAATAATAAAACTGACTGTTTTTGATCTAATACTAAGATCTTTATCAAGTCAAATAACATTCCAATATTCAGAATGCAAATATATTAATAACTTATGACATGAAATTATTTTACATTCACTACATAATAATCACTTCAGGAGTGATTATTACATAAGTCTCGAATTGGGATTGACTTGAGGAGCGAAGAAATAAGACAAGTGGTCAAAATTATTCAAAAAGAGGGAAAATTAAAATAATAAACCAAACTACAGTGAAATTTTGTTAATATGCTTTGAAGTTGTTTATAAACAGTGCTGGTATTGTTGTATGAACAAAAATGCTCTCTATTTGCACATTCTGTAAGTGGAAGTTCAAAAACTAGTTTTGTCTTGGGTACAAGTAACTATCAAGCTGGTACTGCTCTATCTAGGTGCTGGCTCACATTATTTTGCCGATGAAGCATTTATTGTTATAAGAAAAGCGTAAAAATAAAATAAGTTTTATGTTAATGAACTCAGCCAATTTTTAGATAACCCGCAATAGATATTTCAATGTTTTTTTTCTTCTAATTATTACTGATTACTACTGTTACTTGCATCTATTTTGGTGCAGTGCACAAAATATTTTGAAAATTGATAAATGCAAATGTGTTAATTTAGAATTTTTGAAATAACATTAGCTAAAATAAATGTGTTATTGTGTTTAAAAATCTTGCAAAAGCAGTTTCTTTATCTTGATTTGATGAAGATAGAATTTTTGGGAGAAGAAAAAAACACTTGCGCTGTTTTTGCTAATTCACTTCTTTATTGTTTAGGGAGATTGTCATTTGGCCTGTGTGGATTAATTTGTTTTTAATCCAAGCAGTTGATGACTTTTACATTTTATGCTTTTCCACTCTTGGTTATTTGTGAGTCCACTGTAGTAGATTTCAAAATTTCTTAATCCTGTTTTGGTCCATATTTGCCTGACAAAATAAAAAAATGTGCAAATTATTTCATTTTTCATTGCCAAAGTGATCATAAAATATAGATCAGACGAAGACAATCCTTTTCACAACCACATCTATTCTGTATTTTATGACGACTCTCATAATGTGAAACATAAACTAACTTAAAACAAAACAGACCCCTAAATTGCTTTTAATCTTAACCTCAATTATTTTAGACAATTAATAATTAATTTTTAAAATATATCATGTACATCCTTTGTCAGAAAAGTTTCAGGACACAGCTGATAGAAAATTGCAATTTTCTATCAGCCGTGTCCTGGAACTTTTCTGACAGAGTGTAAATTAAATTAATAGATCTTATATTTTATAACAGCCACGAAAGTAATAGAGGGAAAGATTGGTAACATTTTGACACTTTGTGAGTCCCAAAAGTATATTTAAAAAACTCACCTTAGGGTACTGTTTGTAAAGTCGAACGAATTAGACTTTTCAAACAATTCGTTTATAACTAAATGGCTGTTTCTAAAATCGAAGATATGAATGTTGCTAATGCAGCCTTATCCGAAATATTTTTCTTAGATTGCTTTGGGTGGACAGTTATTTCTATCATTTCACCTTTTAATTCACAGTTTAAACACTCGAGTAGATTTAGAAACATTGATATTGTCAGCCGCCATTTTCTTAACTAAGTGAACTAACTATTTCCTTCGTGAACTTTGTTAGTTTCATTTGAAACATCATCATCGCAGAGCATGCGCACTGAGCGAGACTACCACTTTTAGAACGATTCGTTACTAACGTGTTTAACTCGCTCGACTTTACAAACATACCCTTACCAAATTTGTTTATGTATGTGCCATCTGTTTTGAAAAATATCTCTGAATTGTCCAAACAAAATTTTGAAACTTGACAGGGATATTTCTGTATGTAAGACACTGATACAGTAGAGTCCTGAAAACTCGACACTCAATAACCCAGCAGTCCAGATAACTCGGCCACATCCTGGCAGGGCGAAAAAACCCTTAGTTAATTTTCATTATAGACAGCTTTATGCCTTATAAAGTATTTTTCTGAGGTCTGTCTTATCAGGTAAATTACTGTACACTGTGTATTCATTAATTTTCATTTTCATGTAGTAAAGGCTCTATGCCTTCATAAAGTATGTACTTTTCCTTTGNGTTTTGTAATTTAAAATTAAAATATATTTTAATATTTTATATTAAATTTTATTTCAAATATAATTGTAGGAAGCGATGGGCCACGAAGGAGCAAAGCCTCAACGTGCTATTTATTTGAGAAACGGAAGAATTTTTACCACAGGATTTTCTCGCATGAGCGAACGACAATATGCATTACGTAATGAGGTTAGCATTTATTTTAAAAAAAGCTCGTGTTGCTAGGTGATTAAATGAAAACTTCTTGCATATTTTTTTGGAATAATCCGTAAATTATTTAAAGTCCTTTGGGAAAAATTTAAATATTTTGATAGCATAAATTTAATTAACTGTTGTTAATGTGTGATAGATTTATGTAAAATTATCAGTTTGCATAATGTTAATCTACGTGTATTATCTGTAAATTGATAATTAATCTGAACTTTAATATGAATTAATTAATTAAAAAAGATTTTTTTTTTATTCCAGTCATCTCTTAAAGACCCCATCATTCTAGAAACATTAGATACAAGCAACGGCGTCTTATATCCATTCTACGACCCAGATGTTAATCTTCTTTATCTTTGTGCCAAGGTACATTGTATTAATGTAGTAGCAATTCTTGGTTATGAAAAATTATAATGAAATTAGAATGTTGAAATATTTAAATTGATGGATATACAATAATAAGAAATAATTTGATAATGTAACATGAGGAAAATAATATATGAAATTGTGTATTCATGAAATTACCAAAAATATATGGTGAGAGTTAAGACAAACAATTTTTATTTTAAAAATATTATGGATCATTATTTTCTCTGTTCAAAAAGATCTTGTGATATGGAGGAAATGCTTGTATTGTTATACAGAGTACATTTTATATTACATTGTAATGTAGTTAAACAAAATTGTGTGTATTTTCTGTCAGACTGTATACAAATAATGTTATAACAAATTTATTTTTAGATTAATGCCACCTGTATACACTATAAATGGTAAATTCAAAAGTTATAAACTGTAATTTTAAGATAATGAAGAATTTGTCTATAGAGTGATAGACTTTCATTAATCCATTTGATGATGATGATTGATTTTGATTGACATTAATTATTACCTGACTGATAATCATACACATTAGGTTGGTCTTGTAAGTTGTGTGGGTTGTAGATGACATATTGCATTATTTATATATTGCTGATGCATTAAGTGTATGAAAGATGATGATTTCTTGTAATGAGATTTCAATGGTCTTGATAAATATAATAGCATTTGTCCTTTTCATAGGATTTCAAGCTGGTTTGATAATTGTTGGTTTTGACTTTGAAGATTTAATAATAATGGCATAGCTTGTCTAATATCTCAGATTCTCTTAAATATCAAAATAATTCTACTTTTTTTGATAAAAGTATTATTTTACTTGCAGTTGGGAAAATCTATAGTTTGTAATGTAATCTGTAAAAGCTGTATGGTGTAGAAACAATAACTTGAATTCAGTTTGAAATAATACATTGTGAGGAAATAAATTAATGATTTTTCTGAGTTTTTAAAATTTTTTTTGCAGTATACTTTTTATATTTGTTTTATCTTGTACAAAAATACTTTTATATTGTCTTAATACTAAAAGAAAATTTTATTAAAGTTTGTTTTTTTTTAATTTCAGGGTGACAGCAACATCCGATACTTTGAAATAACGGACGAGGCGCCGTATGTTCACTACATCAGCACGTTTCAATCTTCCGAACCCCAAAGAGGCATGGGAGTTATGCCAAAGAGAGGTTGCGATGTTCACCAATGTGAAATTGGAAGGTATTTGAATTTGATTACTGATATTTGTGATAGTAATGGCACACTCTACTAAGTACCGTAATGATGTATGTTACATAATAAATTTTTCAAAGTACATCCATTTTTAATTTTACGTTAACCTAATTTGTTCTTTCTAAAAGCTGTTTTATCTTTGACAATAAGGCAAAATTAACTAATGTGCACCAAAATATTTTGAGCTTTTAATTATAATGAATTTTTAAACTTTTTGTGAAAATGTAACTTGGTTTAACTGACATGCATATAAATCATCTAAATAAGTTTTATTTATTTTATTTATTGTACAATTAAGGAAATGTCCATGAACAATTGATTTTCCACTTGCATTTTAACAATGTACCCACAAACAAAGAACAGCATTAAAACCTGATATATTATAAATTACAAGACAACCAATGCCGATAATGTACGGCATTGGTTGGCTTGATAAATTAATTAAATTATTTAATTAAAAATTATAACTTTAAATTTTAATTAAAAATCATAATTAATAATTAAATTTATTAAGAGATGGTGCCTAACGTCTCCCTCTAGTACCAAATTGTTTCATAATTTATTAGTATTATAGCCAATATCTAGGCCAATAACATATGGCATTGGTTGGCTCGCAATGTAGAAGAGAGGCTTGAGCCCAAAACATGTCTCAGCAAATAAGAAATTCCTGAATAAAAGTTGATGATAGAATTGCCAAGTGTTTGTATATGCATGCACCTAGTAGTGATAAATTAATTGAAGAAAAGAAGACACAGTTTTGGAGTATACAACAACTAGAAGATTATGATTTTGAATGCTATTTTTTCATCTAGTTTTTTTGTTTTTGTTCAGTAACCCGAGGCAGGCTGATAAAGAAGGCTGAAGACATTTGTTTTGTAATAAAAATTTACTTGGAAAAGGTGAGGAAGGGGATTTATTGTGGCTTAGTGGAAATGTTCCAGATTTTGGAGAAATCTACACTTGAAATGGCAGTTATGCAATAGAGATGGTGTTCTGTAGTTTGCAAAGTCAGAACCACTCATCATTCAACATGACTAATCTTCAAGAGCTGTAGAATTGTGGCAGCTGTGGGAGGAGTGACAACAGATATGTCATTGTGAGCATAGGAAGAATTTGAATATTGGATGATTGTGTGCCACATGGCACACATTACACACGTTGAGAAATTGTGATGGGCAAATGTAAAACTTCGACAGTAAAATTTTAATGTATTTTATAACTAGTATCTGGATTTTTGGGTGCCTCATCCACTCAGCTTTTGAAGGAGGCAGAGTGTAAAAAGACAAACTACATTGGTGTTAGTGCAGTAGGCCAACTCATTGCCAAATTGTTTAGCACTCAAATGCACCCAAAACACAAACCTGCCCCTAAACGGTGACTAGCACCCAAACTATATATTTTGCATATGGTTTTTCCTTTTTTTACATTTTCAAAGAATATGTTGGCAATTATCTTTCTTTTGGTGGTTTTTATTCATTTACTTGAGGGGGAAAAAACATTTGTTAAACCAGACCATGTATGCTGAGGAAAAAATACGATAATTAGCATACTTTCTTCTTTTGTTGAGAGGGAAAAGGGAAATTTTTTGGACTAAACAATTAAACTTAGGATTGTTATAAGAATGTAAACAGATTTACTGAACATTGTTTTTTTTTTTTTTAGAAAAAAAAAAACAATCTAGAAAATTATGTATTGATGTCATCTTGCCCTGACTTGTGAACACAACAGTTCCAATTTCCTTTATTTGGTGTCAGCAACATTAGAAAATGGCAAAATTGTCTTCATCTAAACTGAACATTTTAGCAAATAAGTTTAAAGATGAAGGCATATGCACAGGTGGAAAACTTCTTCACTGTTCCATTTGCGATTATGTGATTTCAGTTGATGTGAGACACCAAGAAACGAAAATCATGTGATGTGTGAGTTCGGAAAAGCATAAAGAAGGCAAACAGAAAAGGAAGAATTTCAAGCAGACATTTATAGGAGCCACATTTCAAAGAGAAGAATTTCAAAAGGCTAATAATACATTTTATGCAGATTTAACAACCACTCTTCTGCAGGCAAATACACCCTTATATAACGTAAAGAATCCAGCCTTTAAGTTAATTCTCCAGAAATATACGGGAAAGCTTTGTCCTCAACAAGAGCATCCTTAGAAAAAACTATGTGAAACCAGTTTATGATCAAACCATATCTAAAATCTTGGACATTGTCGGCGATAATCCTGTAGTGTTCATACTGGACGAAACAACGCATTCCACAAAATGGTACGTGCCAAACGTTCTTGTTGACCTTTGACCAGATGCTATGTACAACCAATGTTGTTCAAAATGTACCAACTTGAAAATATGAACTCGACTAGTGTCCCGAGTTTTCAATGATATTTGCATGAAGTTGTTGCTAAATGGTGTCCAGTACAAAAAAATTTGGCTTATCATTACAGATAAAGCATTTTACATGTTAGCATTCTCAAATTTGAAGTGCATCTACAACAACCTAAAGCATGTGACTTGTCTTGCCCATGTCATATACTGAGTAATGGAACGTATTCATGTAGAATATAGCATGGCCAATGACTTCATTTTGAAAATAAAATTTGTTCTCCTTTAGTGCCCTAATTGGGAGCACTTTTACCAAGACATAACTGGGCTGCCATTACCACCCACTCCAGTGGACACCCATTGGAGGTCTTGGATAAACAGTATGGTATTCTACTGCAAGAACTTCAATGTGTTTATCAATGAATTTCCCTGGCCATTCTGTTGCTGTCGACAGTGTCAAGAAACTGGTGTCTGATCCAGTAGTGACCACAGAGCTCTACTCTGTGTGTTCGTACAAGTTATTAGTAGATAAAATCAAAGAGCTGGAAAGACATGGAACTGAAATGCGGGATCAGTGGAATGTTGTAAGTCAGGCACTCGATGTACTGGATGGTTTTGCCCTGGACAAACTCAGATCTAGTTGATCAAAAAATTCTGATTTGACAAATATCTTGGATTGCACTGAACTAGAATTCCGAGTAAAAATGAAACATGACCCATTAGTCTTGGTCAATGTAGAAAGATCTTTTTCCTTATACAAAGACATTATATCATCCAAATGAGAGAACTTTACTTTTAAGAACATTGAAATGGTTACTGTTTCGCAATTGCAATTTGCAAAGTGATAATGCACAGTTTGCAGAGGAAAACCATGTAAATATGTTTAATGCATTTTGGAATTGTATGTGCCAAATTGTTATCAATAAGTGGCAATATTTATCTTGCGCCTGTGTATGTTGATCTAACAAAAGGCTGGTCATCCAATATTTTATTGGATGACCAGCCTTTACTTACATGGCACACAATAGCACAAGTGTTTTGAGTGTCTTTAATTATTTTTGCACTTGCCTAACAAGATTCTTGAGTTGTTCTTTAAACAAGGTTTTTCCCTCTTTGATGTATAAATCTTTAGGAAAACTTTAAGACAAGCTTTTACTTTAATTTTGTTTATGGTGTTTTTAATCATTTATTCTCTTAAATTGAAAAACTTTTAGATGACTACTAACCTGTCAGGGAATAATGTTTATATTCATTTTGTTACATGATAATTTTTACTTTGTTTTTTGATCTGTTATGTTATATATATATAATTGTAATTCCTTATCAAAGTTTGATTAATGACCTTAAGGCATTCTGTTCTTAGTCTGTAATACTTTTCCAAGGGATCTGCACGAACCTTTGGAAATGGTCCTAATGGATTTGGTTGAATAGCTAATTTCTGAATATTAATACTATTATTTTAATAATGCTTAATTTGTACATAGTAAATGATTTTTCTATTACTGCAATTTGCATATGTATGAAGTTAAGATAATATTTTTTTACGAAATTGGTTTGCTATTGAAGAAAAGCTGATATTTGAGATTTGTATTTCCAATTAATTTATTGAATGAAATAATTTTTTTAATTTCAGATTTTACAAATTACATTCTCGTGGCTTCTGTGAAGTCATTTCATTTACTGTGCCAAGAAAGGTACTTTTTAAAGTTTCACCAAAAAAAAAAGTTTATAGGTTCCTTACTAGTAAATTTATCTTAACATTTTTCAGTCCGAACTATTCCAAGATGATCTGTATCCTCCCACCCTGGCCGATGTTCCCGCAATTTCTGCTGAAGAGTGGTCCGACGGAAAAAATGCTGAGCCAATATTGGTCAATAAAGATAAAATCATTGTCATTATTCATTACAGGCAAAATATTTATTTTTGTAAAATTATCATTCTAGTTTTCTCTGAAAGACGGCTACATTCCTGCTAAAAAACAAGAATTAAAGGTGACGAAGAAACCAAATATTTTGGACAAGATGCCCGCAAAGAACTCGAATGTGTCGGCTGGAACGGCTGATTCGTCGGTAAATATTGTTTTTATTTGCATGTTTGTTGTAAGAGATTCAGGATTCAAAGTATGATAATTATGTACATTTTATGTTCAATCATTTAACTGAATAACTCATTTAAGATTTTTAATTGTAGATAATTAAATTATAATGGGATAATTTTACATTTAGACAGTGCAAAATATGTTGTAAAATAACATATTCAATACCTTAATTTTCAAGTACAAAACAATAATAAAACTGACTGTTTTTGATCTAATACTAAGATCTTTATCAAGTCAAATAACATTCCAATATTCAGAATGCAAATATATTAATAACTTATGACATGAAATTATTTTACATTCACTACATAATAATCACTTCAGGAGTGATTATTACATAAGTCTCGAATTGGGATTGACTTGAGGAGCGAAGAAATAAGACAAGTGGTCAAAATTATTCAAAAAGAGGGAAAATTAAAATAATAAACCAAACTACAGTGAAATTTTGTTAATATGCTTTGAAGTTGTTTATAAACAGTGCTGGTATTGTTGTATGAACAAAAATGCTCTCTATTTGCACATTCTGTAAGTGGAAGTTCAAAAACTAGTTTTGTCTTGGGTACAAGTAACTATCAAGCTGGTACTGCTCTTTCTAGGTGCTGGCTCACATTATTTTGCCGATGAAGCATTTATTGTTATAAGAAAAGCGTAAAAATAAAATAAGTTTTATGTTAATGAACTCAGCCAATTTTTAGATAACCCGCAATAGATATTTCAATGTTTTTTTTCTTGTAATTATTACTGATTACTACTGTTACTTGCATCTATTTTGGTGCAGTGCACAAAATATTTTGAAAATTGATAAATGCAAATGTGTTAATTTAGAATTTTTGAAATAACATTAGCTAAAATAAATGTGTTATTGTGTTTAAAAATCTTGCAAAAGCAGTTTCTTTATCTTGATTTGATGAAGATAGAATTTTTGGGAGAAGAAAAAAACACTTGCGCTGTTTTTGCTAATTCACTTCTTTATTGTTTAGGGAGATTGTCATTTGGCCTGTGTGGATTAATTTGTTTTTAATCCAAGCAGTTGATGACTTTTACATTTTATGCTTTTCCACTCTTGGTTATTTGTGAGTCCACTGTAGTAGATTTCAAAATTTCTTAATCCTGTTTTGGTCCATATTTGCCTGACAAAATAAAAAAATGTGCAAATTATTTCATTTTTCATTGCCAAAGTGATCATAAAATATAGATCAGACGAAGACAATCCTTTTCACAACCACATCTATTCTGTATTTTATGACGACTCTCATAATGTGAAACATAAACTAACTTAAAACAAAACAGACCCCTAAATTGCTTTTAATCTTAACCTCAATTATTTTAGACAATTAATAATTAATTTTTAAAATATATCATGTACATCCTTTGTCAGAAAAGTTTCAGGACACAGCTGATAGAAAATTGCAATTTTCTATCAGCCGTGTCCTGGAACTTTTCTGACAGAGTGTAAATTAAATTAATAGATCTTATATTTTATAACAGCCATGAAAGTAATAGAGGGAAAGATTGGTAACATTTTGACACTTTGTGAGTCCCAAAAGTATATTTAAAAAACTCACCTTAGGGTACTGTTTGTAAAGTCGAACGAATTAGACTTTTCAAACAATTCGTTTATAACTAAATGGCTGTTTCTAAAATCGAAGATATGAATGTTGCTAATGCAGCCTTATCCGAAATATTTTTCTTAGATTGCTTTGGGTGGACAGTTATTTCTATCATTTCACCTTTTAATTCACAGTTTAAACACTCGAGTAGATTTAGAAACATTGATATTGTCAGCCGCCATTTTCTTAACTAAGTGAACTAACTATTTCCTTCGTGAACTTTGTTAGTTTCATTTGAAACATCATCATCGCAGAGCATGCGCACTGAGCGAGACTACCACTTTTAGAACGATTCGTTACTAACGTGTTTAACTCGCTCGACTTTACAAACATACCCTTACCAAATTTGTTTATGTATGTGCCATCTATTTTGAAAAATATCTCTGAATTGTCCAAACAAAATTTTGAAACTTGACAGGGATATTTCTGTATGTAAGACACTGATACAGTAGTCCTGAAAACTCGACACTCAATAACCCAGCAGTCCAGATAACTCGGCCACACCCTGGCAGGGCGAAAAAACCCTTAGTTAATTTTCATTATAGACAGCTTTATGCCTTATAAAGTATTTTTCTGAGGTCTGTCTTATCAGGTAAATTACTGTACACTGTGTATTCATTAATTTTCATTTTCATGTAGTAAAGGCTCTATGCCTTCATAAAGTATGTACTTTTCCTTTGTTTAAGAGTATTTGGGCAGTTTATTTTCTGTTGTATTCTCAAGCAAACAATACATACAAGTACAATACAGTATTTTCTGAGGAAACACTCAAACTTATTCTTTTTTAACCCCATTCTCAATAACCTGGCATTTTCACAAACTTGGCCATGCTTTGGTCCACATTAGGCCGAGTTTTCGGGACTCTACTGTACTATTAAACTTTTCTAGTTACCAGTGAAGATTAAGGGTATAAGGGGGAGAGGTGGTTTTTGGGTCAGACTTAATGAAAATTTTATTTGTTATCGGCTTTAATGTTTACTCATTCCTACCCCTAAAAGCAAGGCTTTTATCCTTTTATAGCAATAGTAATTTTCTTATTATAAAATCTCTTAATAGATTGAACTATGCACAATTTCAACTTAGCTATACTTTTAATGATTTTAAATTTAAATATTTTGAATTTTGAAGAATAAATTTCTTCTAGTTTGGCAAAAATTATTTTTTCTGGGTCTTTTTATTTTTTAAATTTTATATTGTACTAGTAGTCTGGGCTGGCTCCTAGTGGGGGTTCTTGCAGCAGCAGTGTTATTCGGCAGTATATATAATAAATTCATATTACAAATAAAAATAATAATATATTGAATTTCTCATGGTGTACCCTAATAAAACACAGTCAAAAATGCAAAAAACCACATCTAAAATAGTATAGTACAGTAGAATTTAAGTTCTTAAGGGTATCCTTGACGCTCTCACCCGTGGGGGGAATTTTTAAAAAATCCCTTCTTAAATTAATGTGCATTCTCATGACATACTTTACTTAACCGCAATCAAAAAAACAAAAAACCACATTTTTTGTTATTTTAATATTATTACACAAAAAACTGAATTTATTGTTAATTTAAATAATAGCTAGGTGTGCTCCTGGTGGCCATTCTAGGCATACTGTTACAGATATACAGACATGCGATCAATGGCTTATATTATTTGATAATTGAAAATTATTGTACTTCCTTTTTTGTTGAATGTTGTGCAAACAAAAGACAACATACAATTAAAAAATATATTGGTATATGTAGTAATTTAATGTTTAATTTTATTATATAATCTGATATTTTGATTTATAAATGCTTAAACATTCTAAATATTAGAATAAAATCTAAAAAAGCATTCTTTTATGCTAGCATGTGCCTCAGAGGCAACAGGTAAGCGAATTATTCTTAAAGTTGGATGTAACATGCAGATAATGGTCAATGGAATTAAGAATAAAGTTTGTTTTTTTTTTTCTTTTAAAGAATCAAAAAATGGACGAAATGGTGGAAGAGGTCAGAAAAATGAAGGCCACGTTACTGAAACATGAAATTCGCATCCGAGATCTAGAGAAAATGTTAGAATCTCCGGGAGGAAGACTGGCAGGAAACAAACCCGTCCATTCCAGTGCCAACAGTCACGGCAACTCGGGTCTCATGCCGGACGAAGTGTAACGTTCCTGTCTGCTTGCTCTCGCCGACGGTCCGCCCCAATCTAGTCTACTCGGAGACGACATGTACAAACGACCGGCAGCGGTCTTTCCGCGTTGACGGCGGGAGACGGCCCGGCCGGGGGATTTTTCAAAAAGGAAAACAAGACGCCGGCAGTTCTACGTCTTTTTGTTCATCTCCAAATTAGAACTGATCTTTTATTTTGTCAAATTGAGTTTTTTGCCACGGTACCGAACGTGTATCTTGTTTGTCATGCGATAGTTCATGACCGTGTTCCCTTCGAGTTCAAATTTAAGGTATGTGAAATGTGTGCATGTGGTGTGTGGCTGTAAAATGTGAATAATTTTCCAGTTTTACAGAATATTTCTGGGATATATTGAGTCGAACGATTTATAGATATTAAGATATACATAATTAATACATTATTGTTTTGCAGTCGTATCGTAACGGGGATTACTTATTAACGGCATTCCAGTTTCGAAAAATGTCCAAATATTTTTAAAAAGATCTTTTTAAAATACATTCCATTAAAGGAAGGCTTATTTATATATATATATATGTGACATTATCATGCATCATTTTATACAAATGCCATCAAAATCTTGCTACAATAATTAAGAATCCATTTTTTTTATTATTAAACCTATTTTTTTAAATGCGTATATTTTTCGTCACTAATTGCAGATATTATTAATTCTGAATATATTATTGCTATGCAAATGTATCCCACGGAAGATGCTTCTAAAGAGGATTATGTTAAAATTTAGTATCTGTGATATTACAGATACTAAATATTGTGATTTATGCTTTTTTTATATAAAAGAAAAAAATAAAGCATCTCACAGAGATGTGTAATGTATTTAAATTTTTTTTTTATTAATGGATGAGCTAAAACTGTTTCGAACCGATACATCGTCTGTCTTCCAGTAAACGTCAGAATTTTTTTACGTCTTAATACGAAAAATTATATTTCTATAAGAGAAAAATGGGAAAACAATGAGATTCTTGCAATTCACAATACCAAAAAAAAAAATAATTTGCTAGGTGTATAATTATTGTGCTTATATTCTTGGTTAACAAAATTATTTTCGAAGCGAGGATGCAATGTTTTTCGACAATATAAATCCTTTAGAAAATTAATTTAGATTCCTCTGGTTTCTTGTGTCGCGACGGCGGGAACGATCTGTAAGGAATCAAAAGAAATCGTCCGCTTTTATCATAAGATATATTTTAAAAAACCGTCGTCCGAGTAGCCATAATATCGAGATGTCGTTCCTTTGTCAAACATTTAGAGTCAGCCGTTTTAATCGCTTTAGTGTAGAGTTTTAGATAAAGTGAAAAATATTAAATTTACAAAAGTGGTAAAGAGAAGATTTTCAACAACCTGACATATTGGAAATTTGTGATTCGTTGAAAAAAATCAATGCGACAGTTTAGCAATAGAATATAGCATCACCAGATACGAAGAAAGATCTTAATTAGATAACGATTTTCTGAATGCTTTTATGCAATCTGAAAGAATGTAGTGCAAGAAGAGTGGGGTAAAATCAAGAAATATTTTTCCCGGTTGTCAGAGATTTAATTCAATAATGTTATATTTAAATAAATTTAAGTTCATTTGAAAATTACACTGGATGCAATTATTTGAGTTGTTCTCTAGTGTGCCAGAGGTTCAAAAATTCATACAGATTCATTTCTAGAGAAATGCAAACTCAGAAACCAGTTTGTTTATATGTGATGCCATATGTAATTTTTAACACCGAGTAGCTTTACGGTTCTGGAATTGAGTTAATTGCCAATATTTTAACCATGTTAACTATTATTTATAACAGAAAAGTTCAAAAAATTGGTGCAGTTCTATAATTATGCTCCTGTTTTTTTTGAAGTTGCATTTCTCTAAATCATTTGAAATAAATCTTAACCTACATTAAACAAAAATTAGAATAGAAAGATTCCTGTTTTAACATATACACATACTTCAGTAGCCAGATAATTTGACTGATACTACTTTGGAAACAGATAAAACAGTTGTCTGTGTCCATTTCGGATTAAAAGGTTACCACAGTGTGCTTCCTTTTTTTTTGCTCATGATATTCAAGATAAAGACTTGTTTTACTACAGATATAGCAATACACTGGCTGAATAGATAGGTGCAGTTGGGGAAGGAAGGATCCTTACTCGGGGAGCCCGTATTCCGGCAGTTCTCGGCTCCTCGACCGCCGACTCGGTACAAAGTTTTTATGAATTGTAAGAAAAATAGCATATTACACTTATTGGCAACCTACCACCCAGAGGATCAAGATTGAATCTGATGGTGGAAAGATTGTGGGAGAGTGGTCTGTCTCTAACCACCATACTACCTCCTTTGGGTCTGGCCAAACCCACAATGGACCTAAAATAAGGTCCTCGTTGTTTCCAAAGGGAATTACTGGTTTGGGTTTGCCTCAGAAAATTGGGGTTCTACTGTGTGTACCAAATCGATTTACATGTAAAAATATCACATTTCAAATTAAGACTTAGAAAGTTCAATTTTAAATCAGCAGATATCCATTTGACAAGAAAATTCTTTGTGCTGTATTTAAATGTGTGCGCACTTATTTTCACACACACCCTTATTTGAAGTGCCATTTCTAATTATTAGGAAATAGTAGGTATTATTTTTTCTATATAAAACTGAGCATTTTAAACAGTTTTCTCATTAGAGAAAATTTATTCTTATAGTTAAGATTAAGTAAATAAAATTTTGACAATTTAAATTGGTTAGAGTGAATCTCAAACTGTAGTTCTTGAAATAGAGGGGGGGACAAGAGCTATAATCGACGTTGAGATGTGGCGAGCGGGGATGTCGTTTCCACTATGGAAGGTATGGAAGACTCCATACCTCACATTTTTTTGCAGGTATGGAATTCCATACCTCAGAATATTGAAAAAATTAATGCAAGGCACTTGCTCTCTGTATGAAAACAAAATTTTTCCTTGGATGTTGATCAAATTCTTACATAATCCAAAGTATATTTTTAAAAGCATATTTTAAATGCTTGAATTAGGGGGTTGAAGGGCTTAACAGCATAGTTTATGAACCTACAGGATTTAAAAGGTTGCGTTATGGAGACTATGGAGTTGAAAAGTTTACATTGTAGGCCAGGGGATTTAAAAACTTAGGTTATTGAGGGGTCCTGTTTTCACAAAATTCCATACCTCAAGTTTTAAAGAATCGACACCCACGGTGGAGAGTGTCTCACGTGGCCAGCTTGAATATATATGAAAAATAGGCGGATTACGGACGGTCAACCGATGCGCAGGGTCTCGCGGTCTGGCAGTTTCAGATTTGGCTCGTTGCAGTAGGCCTACAGTCCACGTTGTGGCAGCGCAGGAATTTTGGCGTTTCTAAGACTATATACGACTGTAAACCGGGTCCTTAACATTAAGGAAAACAGCAATGGAAAAATATCAGCAGCCAACTTACACTATTGCATTAGTTGGTGCTCTTAGTTGGTAGACACGGTCCTTTACGACCCGCTCTAGCAACTAAGAGCACTGCATTTTGTTGTTGATATTCAAATGTTCGAACCTGTGGTGCAGATAAAGAATTCCGAAGAATTTCCCTGTTCACACAATGAAATCATCGAAAGCAACAGAGAAGTAGGTAAGACGACACGATACGACGCTTCGTATTTGCAACATGAATTTACGTGAACCGAAGACAGCGGAACACTCTTCCTTAATGTGTTATTTACTGCGAGTTTTGTCAGTTCTGTCGCGTTATCGCTTCTAAACACTCGTCGATAAGACGACCGAAGTTTTGAAAAGAAGCGCGAAGAATTGGAATTGAGGAAAAGTTGTTTGCGTAAGAGTGAAAGCGGCGCTAAAGGCATTCCTTCTTCTCGGCTACCCTTTGGCTATATCAGCAAAGCCGCAAGTAGTAGTTTTTCTCTCGAAATTCGCCATTTGTAAGGGATTAGGTCGATGGAATGAGGCCAGGGGCGGATCTACATAGGGAGTAATAGGGCTTAAGCCCCGGGGTTCCAAGCGTCAAGGGCCCACGAAATTGAATTATCCTGATAAATTTTTAATATTTTTTCATTAACAACGAGCACTTATCGTATAGTAAAAAATAGTTAATAGGTTAAGTTAGATTAGGTAAGATGTAACCCCATTGGAATTCAATAAGCCCTAGGCCTCGAAAAACCTAGATCCGCAACACGCGATCGGTCTGCCAACGGAGTGCTTCCGGAAAGACTCGCACGAGAAACTGCCCTCTATTTAGGTGATGAATAATTTTATCAAGTACTGGAAACATAATCGGTTTTACCTGTTTTGAACAATGAAAAGGATGTCATTCGGTTTACTTGTCATTTTTGACTTTTAGTTGGTAACAAAGTACGTTTAGATTTTAGATGATTCCGCGTAACGGATGTCAGAAAATTTCAGTGCAACCAGACAATTAATGACGATAATAATGGTAAAGATAAGCTTGACGCTTCGAAGCGAAATATAGAAAACAAAAATTAAAAATTTTGTGGATACAACTTTCAAGCGCCGAACTTATCTTCACCAAAGAAACACTACTAACGTAATGACGTACACTTTCGATACTTCGTTATAAAATGTTTTAATTGGCATAAATTTTAGCTTTTGTAATTCTGGGAATAATTCGAAAACTCCTCGTATGGTAACTTACGAAAATATTAATGTTAAGTTGCCAGATTCAAGAAGTCTAGTGTTGACAAAGCGCACGGTAAGCTACGATATTGTAAAAAGTTTCGTAACTAAGAGCTCTCTCATAAGTCTAGGTAGGTACATATAAATAATATAAAAGTAAGTAATTATTATCCATTTTAATTCTAAACAAATACAATAGTATTTTCCCTCAGCCAGCGATTAAATACCGCGTGAATTCGAATGAATTAAAATTAATCTTTTAATCGTTCCGTACAATTAATTAATCATACGGTTTTAAAATGTTATTTGTTAAATAACAGACTTCAATCTTTACCAACATTGAGAAACGCTCTACTTTTTGGTGAGGGATGGTCGAGCGGTTAAATTAAGATGGCAGCTCCCGCTCTGGGGATCCGTGATCGAATCCGGACGGGCCGAAACCGCCGAGATCTTCCGGGAATATTTCCGAGTATGTTAGGCTCGGTTAGTCACTACCTGATTGTCCCCTCGTGGGTCTGGCAAACATATACAGGTATACCTCGCCTTACGTCGGTAATTGGTTCCAGGAGAACGACGTAAGTCGAGGTATGCCTGTAGTGGGTTAACTAAACTCCACGCAAGCGGGAAAATGTTAAATTGTGAACGAAGCCGGATGGCCGAGCGGTCAAGGTGGCAGCCCACCGCCCTGGGGGACCCGGGATCGAACGAGTCATCGAACCACCCCCCCGAAAATTTCCTGGAGTGGTCTGTTCGAATATGTCGGGGCCGTCCCCCACCACCCGGTCGCCCCATTGTGGACCTGGCCGAACCCATAATAGGACTGCTATAAGAGGCCCTCTTAGTGTCCACAGGGCGGAAAGAGTAAAAAACAAAGAACAACCTGGATGAAACTGCAGTCTTCTCACTCTCACAAAGCTCCTTCAACTCCATCAAGCTTAATTGCAGGTTCTGTGCAAACTTCTCCGAGTCGGTGGAGAGGTCATTTTTGAACGAAGAAATGCATAAGACGATACGATCGTGCAGTGGATTGTACGAACATCTGTATCCGTCGGGCACTACGGGACCGTATCCAACTACGATGTCGTAGGTCGTTGGAAACTACAAATGCCATTTATTTAATACCCTTCCACTCGTTAATACTTAATCAATAAACAGAAAGATGCCCAACCTGACTGGTGGATAAGCGGAAATTCAGGAACTCTTTGTAATAATCTGTATGATAAAGTACGGGTTCTTGTAAACCGTGCAGAGCAGCCATTTCCTTTAAGCACAGAAGATGGTTATCCGGTCCTTCTCCGTTGATTGTCTGCACGAAAATACATATTACAACGATTACGGAATTGTTAATTATTTTTCTCGGTTAATTTATAGCTCTTTGGTACTTACATAGAGGTGATTTTCGGTTTGCTTTTTAACAGCTTTCCGGAACTTAATAAATTTTTCTTTCTAAAAATATCGAAGGAGTCAATTTGAATAAGATTTCGTAATAATTCAGAAGTTTTCGTTCGACTGACCTGACTCAGAGAAGGATCTAACATGGACTTTGAGAAATCCAAAGCCTCTTGGCTGGAAGCGCGGATGTTGTCGACGCGACCGAATCTGAATTTTCTCAAAGCTCCACTTTCGTAAGTGGCCGTCATTTTTCCATGCATTCTGATGAGAAAATAACGGCATCGTTGGTTTAATTACCCTGAAATAATCATTAAAAGAAAGAGAATTGTCGTTTAAACAAACCTGAAGTATGTCAACTGCAAACACAACTGAATGAACAAATCCGAACTGATTTTTTGTTTCTCCGTATGGCGTAATCGTTAAATATAAAAACAAGTTCTAACGTGTCGATCATTCTGAAAACAACGTCTATAGTGGATATATGTTCGTGCCTTAAACTATAATTATTTTAAAGATCAAGAAAAACTGTGTTCGAATGACAAGTAAATTATAAAATATTCATTATTTTATATTATTATTTTTACAAGTTGCATTTGTAAGAATTTATTTGACAAAGAACGGAAGATCGAGCCTAGGTTGCTGCATCGTTTGTTAGTGATTACGATGGAATTTCTCTCGAAAAATAATAGTTTCTGCAACATTTCTCGATTGATAGAGTCTACTAAATGGTGGATCCATACCTAATTATGACAATTTTATGTAAAAAAGTCTTTTCAAACATCACATACAATGAGTTAACGAACACTTTTGTAATTGCAGCCTTTTATTTTTCTGACAGAAACAATTCTTTTATAGTATTTGCCAGACTGTCGGGCGTCCATTCGTTAAATTTTGCCTGGGTTTTCATTTTCGAAAGGTGAGATATAGACTAACAGCAAAGGTAGAGAATGGGCGGATGTCTGTTGGTCTCGTAACTCTCTTCGAATCGTCTGATGATCTCGTAGGAAGCATCCGTAAGTCTTTTTTCCTGCAAATAGATTAAACACTTCGCTTCCATGTCTAATATTTAATTAGAGACACGAAAATATCTTACACGAAATCCAGGAATTCTTCGCAGAATCTTAAAACCTCAATCCCTTCCGACACCGAACGTTCCATCGCAATTCCATTTACACCATTTTTGGTGACGATAAACTGCAGAACGGAAAGAGTAAACAATCGGGCATCGATTTATCTACAATTTTAATAGGCAAATTAGATGAATGCACTTAATTTAGAACACCAAAGTCACGAAGTTTACAATAACTGTCCAAAAAAAAAAAGAGATTTGCAATAGATAGATAATGTTTATAATACCCCCTAGTGATTATTGAAAGAGTAAGTAAATTGTAAATTTATTGTGCCTAAATAATTGACCGAAGGGAGTATTTTATAAACGAGAAGTTGGAATAAACAACGTACTGTACGTTCTGAAAATATAGTTGAAAATACATCTACGAGAGGAAGAGAAAAAAGTAGCGTGCCTATTCCTCTGACTTAATAGGGAATTGCCTACTCTGACGTCGGTTTTATATCTTAATCGTAAATTGATTAAGATATAAAACCCGTAATATTGAAGAGGTATTTGACATTGATCGGTATCGGCACCCCGGGGATTTGGCAGCCCGCGTGCCTTGACACATCGCACATCTAGCGGGACCGTCTCCGATTCTACTGGTAGGGAGCTATTTGACTAAGTGGTTAATAGATGTTACATATTTTTATCAAAGCGAAAATCGGCATTTACAGGGCGTACGGAATCTATTGAATCTAACAGAGGTAATTATATCGAACTTTATTAATAACTATTTATTAATTACGTCAGATAAATAATCTATTAAAAAGACATTTAACGCTTTAAAAGCGATTTCGGACGACAATCCTTTTCAAGTTTCTCTCAAACCTGGAGGTCGTTGCTCGTTTACGTCCACATTTCTGGTGTTTCTTAGTTAAAACTTATACACGGTTTCGGTGTTTAAGTACTCTAAAGACCGTCGGCTGCCAGCATTTTACATAATTCACAATTCTTTTTTGTGTCGTTTCCGCTTTGCGCAAGTTTTGTGACCGATGTCGGGATTACACTCCACTTTGTTCCGTTACACCGTACTGAAACCTGTGTAAACGAATACACGAAAGATGAATTTTTCGTAGTGACATTAAGTATTGTAGGAATGTTCCGAATTATAAATTAACGGAGGAACTTGCTGGAACTCGGTGAATCTCTTCATAGAGAAAATTATACATTAAAAGTTCTCTTTTACCAATTGTAATTGTCTTAAAACGGTATTGCATCTATTGCTTCTTATTCTATTTTAAAGCGAATTACTTGTGAATTCTAATAAATTTTCGTGATTGCGATTGCGACATGGCAGTTTAATTAACAAGTAATCGTCATTTAGAGTTGTCTCCCAAAATCTTCTTTCGAGTTATTAAGTTTTATGTTTCGAAGCTTTCTTTATATTTAAAAGACCAGAAAACGTGGAATGTAGAGAACTTCCCATCTGAAATGTTTACATCAGGAATTTAATTAATGCAAAAACAATACTTTATTTTCTTAGAAATTATTACCTTTATTGGAAACTTCTTTGTAATCTTAAAGTAATCTTTGCATGACAGGCAAAGGGATTCTTTACCGAATCTTTTCATAAAATTCAAAATCTAAAAAGTTATTAATTTCTATTATTGTATTATAATTACACGAAAAAGTAATAGAAGATATAGGCCTACTACATAAAGATATGTTTTAAATATATCAAACCATTAATTTCTGTTCCAATTCCAGATCGCAGTCAGCAAATCTTCTAATATCTTGAAAAGACGTTTGCATCTGAAAAAAAAAAAAATATAACGAATTTTAAAATATCAGCAAATGTAGTAAATCTTGGAATTTTCGACAAAAATACATTACAGCAGATGTGAAGGCGGATAACAGGAATCCGATTAAAATACAGATGAAAGTAACAGTAGCACAGAGGAAAGAAAAGACAACTTTCAAGGCAAGATTTATTTCAGAAAAATTGAAAATGAAGTAAATTAGACTCGTTTCCATTAACAAAATACCGTAAAATATTGTGAATACGTAATTAAACGGTCCGTTGAGTTGATTGGTAAAATTCCAAAGTTCGTCGTGTTGCGCTATAATTTCATTCAGTTGAGATTTCAA